GAAGGCAACACCTCACGCCTCCAGATCATCCGGGGCGGACACCGCCAGAGCCAGGTTGACTGGCTCTGGTCAACGTGGCGGCATCATTTCCGAGATCTTCAAATCGAGTGATTATTCCGACGAATCCTCTCCTCACGCAAGTACATCCGACGATAGGACGCGTGGTGATGGTGATGATGCCCCTATGCATGACCGCGAGAGAACCAACTCGAGAGATTGAGCTGCCACTGGTGTCAGTGCTCATGCTGGCACCAATCAAGAAGCCAGGGACCGAAATGTCCTGCGCCACGCTCCTCTAGTGAAGTCTCCTTGGATGACGGCATCTAAAGAGTTAGATCGAGTGGCCGGAATGACCACCGAACGGGATCGAATCCCGTTATTCGATTGCAGGAAGATTTGTCCATCTAATTCCAGCACGGAAACTTTCCGTGCTGAGGAAGAATTCTTCACCGATGCGTTTTTCAAACATCAGTGGTACAATGGTAGCCGTGTTCTGGACGGCAAAAACCTTGGTGCAGAGATGGAATGCCTTCATCCATAACACCGAGTGTATTGGCCGTGAGGCTTGGCTCGGTAAGCTTGATGAGGCTCGCATAAATTTTGAAAAGCGTAAACCAGTCGGTGTACATAACAAGATGCACCAGCTGTCAAGAGAGGCAGGATTGCCCTGTCTCTCGTGGGGTAATTCGTGCCCATGTTGTCTGGACAACTCTACTCTTGCCCTTAGGGATGCCTTCCTCCCTAACGATCCCTACTGGAGGGCGCGCATCTCTTCAGAGATAGCCGAAGGGATTAAAACCTTGCGATCTCTGTACTCGCGTTCGGGGAGGTCGCTTTCCGACGGCCCTTCTTCGAACGCAGTGGTTGGGTCTCGTCATAATGCTCGACGAGACCCGGAACACCAACGATCACCTGGGTACGAGGCTCCCAGCTTTCCCAGGCCGGTGGATAGCCACGCCAGTGGACGAGATAACTCGTCCGGACGCCATTCACGTCGCGGTGGTTCAAAACACGCTCCACTATGAAGCATTGACCACCGCTTGAGTCCACCAAAGGATGTTGTGGAGGCGGTAACACCTGATCCGGCTCGAGGGTCGGATCGGCTTGATGTTCAGGAACCGAACCGTGTGACGGATCGGCTTCACGATGACCTGGTTCACGAACGGACTCGGCGTCATGGGCTTGAGGATCTTGTAAGGTATAAATACATTTATAACGCACGATCGTTCAGACGATCGTGCCGCTTTTGCGTTCGCTCAACTTGAGATGGAACGTTCGACTCGTTGTCTTCGTGATGAGCTGACTGTAGCTCGTCGAGACATCGCTCAACTGCGTGAGCAGGTCGCTTCGCTAGTCGACCAGACTAGCTTGTTGAAACGGGACCACTCGAAGATGGTCTCGGCTGTCGACCGCGGAGGTGTTCTTCGCATCTCATAACGGGCTCGTACTGATAGAACGGGCGGAGACGACCGACGTAACACGTAGGATGCGTACGCATCTTACGGGGCAGTTCAATCGTGTATGCGTTGCCCATTCGGCGCAACACACAAATTCGATCGATGCACTTGGGCAGTAATTTATTGCGGCCCACGTTTGTCACTGCGCGTTTCGGTAGGTTTGCTGTAGACAGCAAAACTAGGTCTCATTCATCATAAGAAAAACTTTTCTCTTCCGTGTTTGTCTGCGTTTCTCTTCTGTCGGTCTAGTGCATCTGCAATAGAGTCTTAAACGAAGCGGACAACCGCTTCGCGAGTCAGCAAAAAGTTCTCGGCTGATTCATCCTTGTCAACAGCAGTGCGCTCATACATGATGCGCAATCGCAAATCATCATGAGCCGGAACGATGACACGAGGTGTGTCGCCGTTGGCTGCTGTATAGTACAGCAGTCCATCACGAACCGAATACCGTTCGGTTGAAGAGCGGTATTGAGACGAAAAGCTTTCAAATCTTTACTGCACGGATTAGACACGTAATCCATCAATTGCAGAAGATACTCATCTTCTGCGTATGCTTTCCGCACGTCACCAAGCAGATTCGACGACAGAACACTCACTGATAGTGTCGATACAGTGGGATCACCCCTACTGTTGTGTTGAGCAGTCGGCTCGAAATCGGGCCGACGCAAAAGAGCATCAGCGACGACATTAAGTCGTCCTGGTTTATACTCTACGGAAAGGTTGTACTCCGCGATAAAAGACGGCCACCTCGCCATTCGTTGCGAAAGGTGTAGACTGTTTACGGCCGTGCGTAACGACGCATGGTCGTTATAAACGATGAATTACCTATCTCCTAAGAGATATACCCTAAACTTGGCCAGTGCATATTTCACGGCAAGGAGTTCCTTGTCATGCACTGTGTAGTTACGCTCAGCTGCTTGCAGCTCACGCGATTGATATCTGACAACGCGCTCAACGCCGTCTGAGTCGTACTGCACTAACGTGCAGCCGATTGCAAAATCGCTGGCGTTACAGACCACATGAAATGGTCTATCCTGGTCTGCAATCGCCAACACAGGCGATTGCACCAAGCTTTTCTTGATGTCTTCAAAAGATTGCTGACACTCAGCGCTTCATGAACACCTCTCTTTCTTCTTTAACAGACGAGATAGATGTACGGTCATCTCGGCATAGTTGCGCGAGTACTTGTGTCAGTACGCCGCTAGGCCAAGGACCTTTCGAAGTCCCTCGACGTCGACTGGCACAGGCCAGTCTCTAGTCGCCTTGATCTTTTACGGATCAGGGCGTACGCCGTTGTTACCCACGATGCAGCCAAGAAGTGATATTTCGTTTGTTGCGGATATAGACTTCTTGAGGTTCACGAACAACTAATCCTCTCGCATAAGTGTAAGAACCTTCCAGATATGGATTCTATGAACCTCCATGTCCGTCTTTCCATCCATAGCCCGGCTATGGACGAAGACATCGTCAAAGTAGCTCGGTGCTAAGTCCTTCACCGATCGCAACAGATTCGTAACACATCTGTTGAACGTTGCAGTGGCGTTGCTAACCCATGTGGCATCACTAGCCACTCCCAGAACATACCACTGGGGTGCTCACTGCTGTGTACGGGATGTCCCGTTCACGCATGAGGTTTTGATAGAATCCATCCATCAGGTCCATGTACAATAATATGGTACTCTTTGCCATACCATCTATGATGACATCCTTTCTTGGGATCGGTGTTTGAGCCGGTACCGTTGCAGCGTTCAATTTTTTATACGCGTGCACTAGACGCCACCCTCCTTTGGGCTTTCGAGCACAGAAGGTCGGAGAGCTGTGTGAGGATGTTAATCTCCGCACATGACCAGTAGCTAAGCGATCGGCAAAAGATTTGTCGACCGCTATGGCCTGTTCACGAGGCAGTGGCCACTGCTTCATGACACAGTATTTCGAACCTGGTTTCAGTACGATTTCATGCCGAGTGCCTTTGTCCTTGGGCAGCTCGCATGGCACGAATTCAGGGAAAATATCCCTGAATTCGACCAAATTCTTATGCAAAGGATTTGTCGTTAAAGACTCCCAAGATCGAGACGTGTATCGCTCAATCCGAGTCTTCTCATCGAGGACACTCTCATCCATCGATGAGCTACCGAGAACCTATCTGTTCTCAGCAAACACTTGTGCCGACCGAATATCGGCGACGCACTCATCCTCTGTGGCGAGTACGCAGATATGCTTGATCCTGTCACTACGCAGATCTCGCGAGAATCTTTTAGATTCTAGCGTTGGCAACTTGACTACCTCCGAAGCTGTCTTCGGGGGCGTAACCAGATCGAGTGTGTAAGCGCCTACACTTGATCCGTCATTCACCAAGACATTCAGTGTCTCGGTGATTTCCTGGGAAAACATATCCGCAGGTGGTTGGAATTACACACCCTCAACATAACCCTCTCGGAAGTTATCACTCTCAGGAGCGCTGGAATTTTCTTCTAATACTGTACTGACTGTGGGTGCACTACCACAGTCACGCCCTCTTCGATACACTCTCTTTCAGTCGATCGGGCTTGCTCTACGATCGACTCTCTGTTGGTAGATCTTGCTTTAACGTGCTGTTCATATTATACGACAAATTCTCTCTTCTTGGATGTACCCTTCTTGGTGTGCATCCGTGTTCCATTCCACTCAATATCTTCGAGTGCTGAACCTTCGGCGCAGCCTGTGTCTCTACACAGGTGCCGGAAGCTGGTTCCACAGTGCAGTGGACTTCTACACTGTAATCTTGTGCAATTGTACTAACGACCGTACCACAAGTGAGGCCATCGCACTCACTCATAGTACATCCACACGCTTGTGTACGCTTGTGGACGATCCAAGACGTTCATCAGATGGCCATTCGATGAACAAAACGGCAGGCATATTCACGGATCGATGCTGCCATCTAACCCATGGCCGGTACTTTCTAAGCCATGGCAGACCAAGGATGACATCAAATTTGTCATCCAAATCTAATACGATAAAGTCATCATCGAATTGTTTTCCTTCTAGCGTGTAGTGGATTTCCACTACACGTTTGTTCACTGCTACGGATGCGCCTGTAGCAAGGCACACCGTCATTCTCGTTGGAGGGAACTCTCGCTCAACAAAGTTTAGACTACTATCCCCTAGCGACTGGCGTCGAATGAAACTGTTCGACGCACCACAGTCAACTAGGGAGCGAGTGACATTCCACTTGTCACTTCGATCTTCAAAGTGATGAGAGACTCCTCATCACTAAAGGCAGTACACACAGAGACTGTGTGTTGGGAGCAATCTTCGTCAAAAGTCCTACAAATTCTCTTGACGTTGCTGGATCAGCAAGGTGCTCCGCCCCTACTGACCCTGACCGTTTTTTGACGGTCCGACTTGCTGTCGCTGCTTGGCGACATGGTCGGACCCACGGCTCGGACTCTTCCTTGACCAACGGCGGTCATCACGTCCTGTATTTGGACGTGTTGCGGTGCTTGGGACACTACATTCATGGGCGTAGTGACCAATCTTCTGACAGCGATGGCATCTTGCCGTTCACTTGTGACTCAGAGAGCGAGAGGTCTCGCTCTCGATGTAACAGAGGTCCATTGGTTTGGGACCTCCTGTTCCGTGTTGTCTCGTCGGACGATAGTTTGACGAGTTAGCCTGAGACTGTCTCAGGCTGAAGTCTTCTTGTTCCGCATACGCTATCGCCTTTTCCAGCGTATGGAAGTCCTCTCGGAACATGTAGGTCTTCACCGGTCCATCTACAAGACCGTAGATGAACACGTTGATGAGCGTGTACTCATCAACAGGGTTCTCCGTAACACTACTTGCAAGGTAGCGCAGGTACTGTGCGTAAGCATGCATGTCACGCTTACCTTGCTTGAGCCTCAGGAGTGCAGAGCGTTCTCTGAACTCGGCTCTTGGTGGCTTAAACGTCTCTTCAAGCCGAGACTTCAAGATCTCCAACGACTCAAACAAGTTTGGGTCGTGAAGCTTGAGCCCTAAGCCCAAGTCTTTGCTCATCCTGTCAAGTTTGACAGGGCGAAGGTGACTTGCATAATGTCACCCTCTATGTTACGGGCCCTGGTGGCATCGTCTAACTCGACGAACCATATCAAAATGGAATCTTCATCGGTTCCCTTGTACTTTGAGATATCGATCTTCAGGGTTTCGGGTCGACGCATGTGCGCCGGTCCGCCCATCGACTGATGAGAGCCTTGCTGCTGTAGCAAGGCTATCTTCTGTCGTTCGACGGCAAGTACCCTTGTAGGAACTTGTTGGTAGCAGCATGTTGCTGGTCTCTGCTTAGAGACTTCGAAATACCACTGATGGCGGGTTTGCCCATGAGAACACTCATGTGGCTGACTACCTCCCATTCTGAGTCACTCAGATGGGAGTAGCCTTCACGTGGGACGCGAAATCTGTCGTCTTCTACGTCCAACATGTTCATCTTTGGCGGACACTAAGTAGTCGTTAATGAATTGCAAAGTGCTACCAGGTGTAACGGGGCACCTTTTGTTTGGGATGCCGCGAAACTTCACGTACACTAGTACGTGCAGAGGAAGCTAAATCACTCAAACTACCAGTTTGAGTAAAGGTAAAAAGAGAACTGTATTTAAGGTAGTTTAGCTATCAAATAAACTTCAATCTCTATCTAACTATATTAAACTACTACGTCGTCGTATGACGACAACCTGTTCACAACGCATTACGCGCGTCTAGCAGCGATTGGTGGTAACCTTGGTTGATATGTCTTTTATCAACCAATCTCTGAGCAGCGCATGAAGATTATCTGAAAGGGGATTATACTTCTTCAATATTATCCATATCGGATAATGTTGGTAGGATATTGTCATGCTAGACAATTTTCCTATTGACACCGTTTGGTTTCAATATCATGTAATAGGCTACCCTGTTACAATCTGATCGTCATTTAGCTGGGTTTCCGTGAAAATTTTATTTGATGAATCTCCTCTGCTGGTGTACACGGTAGCGAAAAGTCGTATCAAACCCAGCCGACGAGGTAGAGACCCATCAAACCGATTTTACTGGCCTTGTTAGGTAATAAAAACTCAAGATTCCAGTCCAGGGTATATACTTTTTGGCTCCCATACCCAGCAGAATCGTAGCTGGTACACCATTAGCTGTGTCTAGCTTGCGCAACAAAGAGTGCTGCTTATGACCATGCCGAATCGTATCGTACGAGCCGTAAATTAATTTAATACGATAGCCTCGTCCACATCTTCGCTTCTAACTTGTACACTTTCGATCATTATTACACACGCTCTCGGCCTTAATGCTGTTCGAGTGTATAGTCTTGTTGGACATTCTATATTTTGATGTCCTGGCTTCTTGCAATATAATAACAGCTTGCGCCGAACGCAACTTTACCATGACACTCTTTCCAAAAAGTCAATTTTCATTAAATATAGTGTGGTATACTCGAAGCGTTGATGTGTACTTATTTCTGGTCGACGAATTTGTTGCGTACAGCTGGAGCTTCCGAAGCCAAAATGTGAACGTTCAAAGTCGCATGCGACATTTAGCTCCTGGTTGAGAGACGGGTACTGGCGATACTCAACTTCAGCCCGTGTCTGGTGCTTCAGGCCATATGTGCAGCGAAATGCGGAATCGACGTCTGTCATGTATCTTAATAAAATTAATAGCTGTCGGAAGCGGTTTGCATATTCTCCAAGATCTCGACACTGCGCTTGAGTAAATTTAAAAAAGCCGGACATGAAGCCGTGTCTGTAGATTTTCGAGTGCAAACTTTTGATCTTTTATAAAGAACAATTTATCGACAGTGGTGATACGGTTGCACGACCTAACAAAACAATCCGCCGTAATGCCTGTGAGAATGCATCCAATATTCGGAAGTATTTATTTTACATGCCAAGGTCGCGCTCTTCCACTTGATGCGACTTGCTTTAAACTGCTGCATTGGGTTTTTGAAAAAAGAAAAAAATGAACTCGTTAATTTTTTCACTCCAATGATGCGCCCTTTTGCGTCTATTATGAGGTCCTTTAGCGTCGTTGCCTCGAACATCTTACAAATCATCTCTTGTTGCTGCGCATCATTGCAAGCATTCTGTGCATCAGCTCCGCGTTGGAAGGCACTCTTATGGCTTACTCACCCTAAATTAATTTACTAAAGTAATCGGCATCAGGAGTAGGTCCGGGTGAGGGTCAAGTCAGGGGGTCAGGATCAGGGATGGTCACTGGACCGAACAGTGCTACTTGATAGAGCGTTCAAACTTGTAAGAAATCAAAAGTTCAATTAGGTCCTACGTTCACAAATCTGTGCTACTCGAAGCCTACTGATTTCATTGGTGGATTTTTTTATGATGAAAGTGTTTTGGTAAACAGGTATTGTTCGTCGGCTGCTGCCATGCATCTGCACGTTCACTATTTTGAGCTGGTATATTCAAAAATCCGTCGTTCGCCGGCTCATTGCGCCTTACACATAGGCTCTGGATGAACCCCGTCTGCTTTGGACGTTGAACTGTTGATATGCATGAAACTTACTGTTACAAATATACAATTTACCCATAATTAAATGTTATTACGAACTTAAACAACCCCTTCAATTACACATTCAAACTTGTTCACATACAGTTGGTCATAGCTTACTACACCAAGACATTAGTAAAGATTTCGATGTTACATATAGGGAATTGCTAAATTCAGACCCCCTTTCCTTAGATTCACACCCTTCCTTCGAAATTGTGTATAGGAAAACCCTATTCAATTTAAGATTTGTTTTCTGACAAAGGTGTACTGGCTGATTCACGAGAGTGTGGGGGCTGAATAATGTTTTTCCTAAAAGGTATTGTGATCTCGCTTTAATTTGGCATAGCCTCCTATCCTATCTCATGTTTCAGCTGTATCCCAGAGACACTCACAACTTTCGTCCCGTGCCCATGTGAATTGGTATGCAAGAGCAAAAGGTGGCAGGAGATAAGATGAGGGAGCAAGCTCTGGAAATCACCGCTGTAAAATATGGATACAAAGGTGCCTCTTATAGAGAAGGGCGAGTTTACCAGTCTTCGTTGTAAGTGTTCCTACCTACAGAGTGATCATTCAAATTTCGATGTCGTTGAATATGCAACTAAAAGACGATGTGATATCTAATAAATAGATTCGGCAGGGTCTTAAGCACTTAATGGATGGTAAGTACGCATCTCTACATAATCCTTTCGCTCACCTGCTCTCTCATTACTACCAACAGAAATGGAAAAAAGCAAATGGAAGCAGCAACTGAAGCGTCGACGTTTACAACTTTTTCGTCCGTAGATTCTTCCAGTACTGATACAAAGCTTTCACATTGTACCAAAAAGAGACAAAAAACGTCAAATTTGAGTGAAGATGCTGAGTGCAATGTGGAAATGGCTACATTAATTTTTTGACGATGCTTTCTCAGCTGGTTTGGCCTTTGAGCAGATCAGTTCGTACGATGGAGCAGTGGAAGCTTTCCGACGTGCAGTTGAGTGTCGACCGGATCACTTAGGGGCACTCACGCACCTTGCGGATGACTATTATTTGGCCGGATACCTGGACAAAGCACTAAAATACTAAACCAAGGATAGCAAACTAACGGATGGACAGGAGGATGCGTCTATCTCGTTTCGACTTGGCTTAATGTATTCTGCTTTGGATCAGCTGCCAAAGGCGACAGAAGCTTGTCAAATGTCGATGAGGTTCAATGCTCGAGCTTTGGATGCTGCCAATAACGCTGATGAAGGTAGTGAAGAGATTGAGAAAGCGTACGGCATTACACTTGCAGCACTTGCTAAAGCTTATGGCGAACTCGGAGATCTGGACGCAGCGGTCACGGTATTTAAAGACGCGGCCGATAGGTTTCCAGACTCTGCAAATGTGCAATACAACTTGGCTACTATGCACATGGCGAGAAGCAAGAGTACTGAGGGTAATGCTTTTGATGCAGAAATGGTGCGAATGTTAGAGCGAGCGATTGAGCTTGATCCGAAAACGCGCGACTTAATTGTCGACCTCGGCGCGTACTTGGAGCAGCATCAGCAGTAGCCGGATCGGCTTTGTCAGCTGAAGCGGAAAGCTGAAGAACTAGAATCTGCTAATTTAACAGTGGGAAATGATGGAGATATAGATGGACAGGATTTTGAGGAGATTGCTTCAAGCGAAAGGGACGAGAATAGCGAAGACGAAGAAGATCACGGGGACGGAGAGTAAATCGATGAGTGGCTAGAATCGAGGCGCTCACCTACCCACTTGACTGGTGGACAAATGTAGGACACCTGAAGGTCCCAAGGACGGCAGCGGTAAGGACTTCAAGAACCAGTTGATTATTGTTATTAAGGGTCGACAGAAGACCGAGGCACAATCATACACGTTGCATGGACCAAACTTTTTTGAAATATAATGACACAGTTGATACAACCCTCCTATCTTAACCAGTGACACTGTAAGTTGCCAGCAGCTACAGCAGTGCGCAAGATGTCGCCCGTAGCCGAGTGGCAGAGAAAGTACTCGTCTTTGTCCAAAGGCGATTGCGTACCTTGTACATATAAGATTTTGAAGGAAGGGTTTGAATCTAAGGAAAAGTGGTGTAAACGTAGCAATATCCTATATGTATTAAGCAAACAGAGGGGGTGCAAAGCGTAAAAATGTGCATCGTCTTAAAAAATCGCGCATTAACATGATGACGTTTAAAGTAGTCTGAATGCGTCTGTACCGTTTGAAGAGCCGTCGTCAAATCAATGTTCAGTTCTTCTCTTTAAAGAGATTCTGTGGAGAAAAGTAGGATTGGCACGATTTAACCACGCCGATATACTGAGAGCACTTGGGATACAGGTGCGAGCCTATCTCAAGTGCTCTCAGTATCTCTATGCCCTATGAAGCAGAACTGGGCATACGATTAGAAATTACAAACACTAGCTGCAGTGACACCAGAAACGACCGATCAAACGTTTTTTGCGGCAAAATAGTCGCGAAGAAGAAGAAGCCAAACATCGGCAATGTAGAGCCCTTTGCAGCCTCTTGCAATTCCCATACAATTTGTAATCTGTCACCTAAGCGAGCGCGAGTTGCAAGGATGCCCGACAGCCCAAATCCTCATGTGCTACTGCTGGCACATTATGGTCTGCGCCTGCATCAAACCAAGTCCGATACCTTAACCTCTTTGGATCTTTCCAGGTAGGATTACCGCACATGCTCGATTAGGAGCTTAGAACATGTCTGATTAATTCCATCTGTGATAATCAAGGGATGAGCAGCAAAAAGGTGGAGCTTCATCCGACAATTTATTGCTTACCAGCCCATTCATTTGTTTAATATATGGGGTAAGGGCTAATAAAAGGATTACTACAATAGTGGCGCACGCCATTTTCACCATTATGAAGCTATTTGTGGTACCTGATTAATCCCATTAATGGCTAATGGCGGTGCTCGCCTGTTTTTCACCCAAATGCAGGTTTACTGGACAAAATTTAGTCTGGATCTGAATATATATGTATAATAAATAAGTTCTTAGATGGGCTATTGACTACAGTGTCTCGAACTTCCTGGTGCGTAGGATGACCTCTGATAAAAAGTCTCTTAGACCCAATCTGGAAATCATCATTCTTCCATTTTACAACGGAGAAGTTACTCTCCACAGTCGACTTGCCCGTTTATGCGGTAGCCAAGCCTTATAAACGTCTTCAGGTGCTCGTCACGATTTTGCGCGTAGTTCCATCCATATTCAAATGCAGTGTTGATTTCGCACTGATCCCGGACCCGCTCAAAGTCGGCTCACGCTCAGATGCAGCTCGGCGTCCTTGAAATTTTGCTCGATGATATCGAAACGTTTCTGGCTCCAGCGGGCAGACGGACGATCCCTTTGCTTGCGGATAATGCCAGCAAAATATCGACCGCGAAATTTGAAGAGATGATTGAAGCAGGACAGGCGGCATGAAATTGGAAGCATTGATTCTTTAGTCACCTCATTCCACAATACTTGCAATACTGACAATTGTTTTAACGCAGCAAGTGGCGATGCTCTTGACAACGGCAAACATTTCGTCGACGCCATTTTCTTCTATGGCCACTAAAACAATGCTGCCTAGGTCCGCTAATACGTCTTCAAAATCTCTGAGCTTTATTAATAACTTCTTATCCGCTGACAGCTCATCAGATTTCAGGTCGAGCGCATCCACAGCTTTTTGGGCGGCGATCTATGAAGCACTAAATAAACCCTTGTAACTTAATTTTAACTGTAAAATACCTTCGCGTTTCTTAGAGATAAGCGTTTTTAATTGCTTAAGGCTTCGACACGTGATAATCGCCTCATTTGAGACCTGCGAGACAAAGAAATACTGAAAAACAAAAAATACATCTTGTACATCGACCCATCGAGTATCAACATACATTTTGGTCTACATTCCGATATGTTTGATGAGGTATTTTTTGCCTATGTAAGCATGATATACGGCTGCCTAGTAGAGAGTAAACTCATCTTCCAGTAGATGATTGTAAAACTGCTTCAGAACAACATTTAGCTGGTGCAGGCCAAAACAAAGTCGAAAGAATATAAACGTCATGACTCGCTCATAGCGAGTGGTGACGCCTTGAAATTTGCCGCTCATCCTTCGTTCACCTTCCGTCAAGATGGAACTCTTTCAAATCCCTCCAGTTGGAAATAATGAAATACAGTGCTCTTTGAGAATTCAGAAATGTCCCTTTTGCAGCATGACTGCTAAACTTGGGATGGAGAGAGAATGGAAGTCGTAAATCGAGACAAAGCTGAATGGCCGAATTCGGATGTTCAAATACAAGATAGATATGTGTGTGGACACTCACATAGCCAGAGAGATCGTCTAGCCTGCGGCCAGCATTTCCGAGATCTTCTGAAGCATAAGCGCGCAGACATAACGAATGTAACTTGTGACCTTGCCTTCACTTTCACTCCCGATTGACGCCAAGCTCTTAAGCACCTTCATCCTGTGCAGAAATCGAGCATCCATTTAAAAAAGGCCATACACCGACGTATCCGACAATGAGAAGAACCTGTATGGGTTTCGTGATGAAGATACGATCGCGGTCGGTCTGAAAAATCGAGTCCTGCTCGCTCTTAAGGACCAACAACGTCCTCGAAGATGGATAGATCTATATGCTTGGTTGACTCGTCGTTCGCGTCCTCAGGATAAAAAAAATTTCACCAACGATAACATCGACGATACTCTTACTTTAAAAGTAATACGTATGCGTCTGAACTTAGCCAAAGTGAAATCGTATGGTATTCTGGTGCACATTTCGAGCGCTCTCGTCATATAGATTAGCTTCTTCTCCTTTGACAGATCACAATACGTCTCCCAGTTTCATGGATGCTGTGTCTTAATGTGCTTTTGGTAGATAACAGCGCGAAATAGACATTTGAAATACTGGTTGCTCGTGGCTTATAGTTTGGTGCCAAACGTCTCTTTGCAACCAAATGCACACAAAACTGGCATATTGCTGACACGAAGACCTTCGCAGACAAGTCGCGCTCGCAGACCTTCAGATGTAATGCAGTATTGTAGAAGTGATTATGCAGAGTTTTAAGCCAAGGAGAAATTGCTTGGAAAAAAAACGAGCGTCCAAAAGTATAAAATAACGGTAATCTGTGTCGTATTCTATGGGTATGTTGGGGGCATAGACACGATGCGTGGCCAGGATGAGTCAGTGGAAAGAGAATGTTTTTTTCCTTTTCCACAGGATAGAGAATTTCCCTACTTAAGCTTCACAACTCCTTGATCAAATTGGAACAAATTCGGCTGGGTGCATCTACATGAAAACTGTATGTTTACAGTACATTTATTCTGCATCATTAAATGTGATTATAGGCCGCAATCTGCGCTCAAAAAAAGTTTTTTCAAACACTCCGCCACGGACTTTAGTAGTGGCACCTCGCAGAAGTAAATTGTGACTAGTAGTGGCGTCGGTTGTTGACACGCCACTATTAAAGTGTTCTTCTCACAAGCAAAATTTGAAGGCTCATTGACGGCTCCATAAATTTAATGCAAAGCCAAGATATGGTCAGGACGAATGCTGGGCGTTAAAATTTTTTTATCTAGGGTATCGAAAGCAAGCAGTTTTGAAAGGGATGTCTGTCGCAATATCTGCCGAAGTAACCACCAAGAACGAAAACAATCAGCTAGCGGTAAGGCGGTGTCACAAGAATCGATTTTTCTCCCTTTATTTGATAATTGATCTCCTGACTTCATCTTATTATCATTAATTATGAAGTAAATATACTAAATCTCTAAATTCCCTTAATTCGATACCGCTCTCGTTTTCATCAAGATTAGCAGTTATGTTGGGTGTGTTGCGTGGAAAGTTGCGTGTCGTGCAAGCTGGTACTGACAGCAAACTCACACAGCTGCATCAATGCTGAATTCCAATCAATACAGGCTCATACACTGAATAGTCGCAACCAATATGTTGCATAGCAACAAAGTTCGATGCGCATGATAGACTATGATTTCATTGTTGTGAAACTACTCGCTAGTCCTTGACATATTCTATAATAAGATGACAGGCTCAAAATATCATTTTTTAAGTTTGCCTCCGCACACGATGTCGCCGATGCATGCGCGCAAGAATTGATAGTGTGGCCCAGCCAATGGTCATGTCGACGTAAGCGCAATCGGTCTCGTGAGAGAAACATCTTGAAGAAAGTGAGTACCGGACATTCATCGTTTAGCGATGGGGTATGGGTCATTCATGCGTCTCTTTAGCTGTGTGTATTTACATAATAGATGCATGGAATTTTTGTGTACCGATCGTGTTACTGTAACGGCTTTACACGGCGGTTATTGAACCGGCTATGTTATGTGTCCACACCAAGTAAATATTGGTGGATCTGAGTGGCACAGTACTGGTACCAGGTGACGATAATACCGTACCTTTCGTGTAAGGAACAGGAAAAAGACTTCTGTCATAGGATCGCAATGTAGAAGTCAGTCAGACAAGGTTTTATAGTTTTATCACTGTAGTTAAAGAACAAATAAAGCTCAGTTCCCCTTTTAAATCTTTGGACGCTAGAGCCTAGTCAAGGCGCAGTGTATTGTTAAGAACATTAGCTTTGTGAATGCGTTTACTCTTTTTAAAAAGTAATGACTAATCAGTGTATGATTCTGTGAATCGTAATACCTTTGAAACCGGGATTGCTAGGCTTGTACGCTGAAACGACTGTACGTCGTTGTTAGTTCGTTATAACTAAGAGACTCTTTGAGTCGAAGACTTCCTCTGTTAAGGAGCGCTAATTAGCATCATTACAGTCACTGTAACGCATCCGAACGCATGAAGCCCCAGACTTTGTATTTACAACCGTTCAATCTGCCATTCTTTTATTCACCCATAATATTGCAGCCATGGAAGCGCAATCTATAGCAACCATGGATATTAAGTCCAGCATGTTCATTATTCTAGCTGCGGCCTTCTACACTTCTTTTATAAATTATCAATAGTTTTACAATGATTGTCGGATGCATTAAGACGTTTCACATCCTCTGGTTTCACGGTTCGTATCTTCCATGCTAAATGAACAGATCACGAAGGTCTATAAGGTGTGAAGAAGCACCTAACGATTGTACTATTACAAGCTATACAAGCTGACGAAAATGGAGATCTAAATAACCGTAACTTTACGCACACAGAAATGCGGGAGTGTAGATGCCTATACGGTAGCAATTAATCGCGAGTAAATAGTAAATTGATCATTTTTAAAGATAAGTCACTGTATCGTCAATCTTCTCAACTCTCTATTTAAGGTACTGTATGTGTTGGTCTTCAAACACTATGTCAGTGATATTTACCTACGAACGTGTGTAATTGCTACCATCTCACCATCCATTGCGTGCTATGGTCATATATTTGTGGCTTGGTGTATTTCTCAATTACATTTGATAATTTGAAGATCTCAGTTGTGTATTATGAAGTCTTATGCAGTAGTTTTACAAAAATAGGGAAGCAAGATCTGGAGCTTTTCGATTGGTACAAGTAATTCAGTTCTATGAACGGAATCAAGGTCTGTATATTCGCGTAACTTGCGCTCAGTCACTAATAACTTTACCCGTCAGGTTCACAATAATGCCTATTTACAATATAGAGAGGGAAAAGACTACATTAGACTTAGTACGACGTGTAAAGCATACCAAGCGTGAAAATGGGTCACAAAAATAGTTGTCATTAGCCATGTACGCTGGTGTGATTCAGACAAACAGTGATCAGAGAAACTGGTAGGCATATTATTGTATCATATACGCAAGCAATAATATTGCACCTTTTTGATCACGGATAGATGATATTTATCGTGTTAGTTTGCCGAAGTACGGCGTCGTTCTGGTGTGGCATCAACAGAAAAACCTCCATAAGAACTCCCTGGTTAGGTAGCATTGATTGGAGATAAAATGCGTAAGTGAGGATTATAATCGCTAATAAGTAAGTAAATAAAGACAATTCCTTATTTAATCAGATTAAGACATGTATTCTTTTAAGACGTCTCTTGTCATGTGAGTTAAGAGACTGTAAGGCCGAATGCTTTAAGTGCCACGGAAATCTTTGGAGTCGTTTGTTCCTTGATCCAGGACAAAAAGCTTACGAGCTTGTTAAGATACTCTAAGGTAAGTGTCACATATAAAATGAGAAATCGAATCCCTTAAATTAAACATCCTTAAGTTTAATAGAATAAGAAACTACGAGTCTATTTGTATTTCACTGGCCAATAAGAAGTCAGGGTAGTCCCACTACAACACGTTACTCACGGACACAAAAATGGTACAAGCTATATCGTGCTTAGTGCGACATGTAAGGTAAACCTGGCGTAATTTACGTACACGTGTGGAGACCGACTAAATATCACTTATTGCGACGTTTATAATACTCCTAGCATCATTTACAGACACGCGCACGAATACGGACACACACGAGCACTGACACACACGGATAGGTACGAGATGCAAAGTTCGGCATTCACCTTGCGCACAGTAACTAATGGATTCAACCCTCTGAAATGCAATAATATTATGTCGTAGAGTGATAATCTGTATACCTTCCGCTACTGGATAAATCCAATAAATGTATAAGGATCTGTGTAGATGTCGATCTCATGGATGGGCTCACGCTATTACATGATTTTTAGACTTGGATCACCAGGTATATTAATTAAGGGCCGTGTTGGCTGACAGGAAAGGAGCGGTTCGTGTAAGTTTAGTAATATTTCTCATCCTGATAAACTACAAATCGTTCCAGTTCTTTTTTACATGAAATCATGCTAACTGATTTATTCGGACAAAAATTAGCATTCACCATTCCCACGATCCATGCTAGACTGACACATAAGCTAGTCGACGCCATATGCCACCGTACGGTCGCTAATTGTCGATTTGAATAGGATGGAATATAATGACCGCAATCGAAAGGTCGGTGTGTAACATAGGGTTGCGATACTCGAGTTGGATGTCCAACTGTATGATTTGAGCTCGTGGATACCAGCTGAACTTGTTAGACTCTCTTGTTAATATCTGTACTGCTCAGCAGAGTTAACTTTACTAATATTGTACAACGCTTTTTCGTCTGTCACCTACCTTGTCATCAGGGTGGGTGCCAATAAATGATTATGTCACACGCACCATATGTCGCGGCATTTTCCTGTGCGTTTGTACAGGACCAAGTAGACTGAAAACAGTGACTTGATCGATTTGTACAACTACAGACCCTCTATTTCTCTCAAGTGCAGACTGAAAGCATAAAACGATCAACTATGAATGATTGCGAGCCCGAGGAGTGAAGCTATTCGTGTGTGTGCGCAAGGTTGAATGCCGGACTTTTGAATCGTACTTATCTTTGTGCGTGTCTGTCAGTGTTTGTATGTAAATGAAGGTTGCGGTTAGATGTAAATTACACGCACTAAGTGCGATCTAGCCTGTCCCCCCCTCATGGGTATCTAAGCACATTTAAAGTCACTCTTTGGCTTTGTCATTATCGTTATGCACGTACGTGATTTTTGGCTTTAAATGATCAAAGGTGAATACGATCAATAAGCAAATGCGTACGCCCATAATCAAAGGCCAATCGCGTTGCCCAAGTACTGTATTGAATTAATGCAGACATTAACAGCATCATACTCATACTTCAGTGACCCTGTTCTATTAATGTTTTGCGACTAGATTTAGTTCTACGGACTGGACTACCTTTATCAAAAGGTGAGCCCCATAGTGTCTCCCCTATCTCAAGTACGATTGTGCATTGCAAACGAGTTTTTTTTGATAAGTTCGGTCACAAGACGGACCAGCAGCTTGTACTAAATGCACTAAAACATCCTCATCAACTAAATTTCCAGTCTTTAATCTTGGATAAAAGAAAATGTCGCCAGAACTGAACCCATCTCGTTTGACTTCCAGTCACTCGAACGAATAAACAATCAGTGGAGACAAGCAGTAGGTCCTCTATGGGAGGTGGCGAAGCGTGTGTGACTCCAACCTGTGGCAAGAGCGGCTCACTCGTGTGCCCAACGTGCAAGAAACTGGGCGTCCCGCCTGTCATGAGCTCCTTCTGCTCGCAATTGTGCTTTAAAGGCTATTGGTCCTCCCACAAGGCGCTGCACAAGATGTTTACGCAAGCACTAAGTGAGACCCGCACTTCCGGGTCTTCGTCACCGTTCGATGGATTTGCATTCACGGGAAAGCTACGACCAGGGAAAGTGTCGCCAATGAGGACAGTGCCTGAGCACATTCAGCGTCCGGACTATGCAGAGACGGGCATCCCCGTCTCCGAACAGCAAGCGAGCAAGAGCATTCCCATTTATACGCGCGAGCAGATTGCAGGTATTCGGGAAGCTTGTCGCCTTGGAAGAGAGGTGCTCGATCTTGCAGGCAGAGCACTGCGAGTAGGTGTGACGGGGGACGAGATTGACAAGATTGTGCACAAGGCCTGTATTGAGCGGGGGTGCTACCCGTCCCCACTGAATTATTACCACTTTCCTAAATCTGTCTGCGTCTCGGTGAACGAAGTGATTTGTCACGGTATCCCAGACTCGCGTCCATTTGAAGACGGCGATATTGTCAACCTTGATGTGACAGTGTACAAGAACGGGTACCACGGAGATTTGAACGATACGTTCTTGGTAGGGAATGTCGACGAAGACGGTGTACGGCTCGTGAAAACAGCGTTTGAGACTTTGGCGGCGGCGTCCAAGCTGGTGCGTCCAGGCACGATGTTTCGTGAGCTAGGCAAGCACATTGCTGCAGTTGCGAACGCTCAGGACTTTTCCGTCGTGAAGACGTATTGTGGTCATGGAATTGGATCGTTATTCCACTGCTCTCCGAACGTCCCTCATTATGCGAAGAACAAGGCTGTTGGTATCATGAAGCCTGGAATGATTTTTACTATCGAGCCGATGATCAATATGGGCTCATGGCGTGATAAGACGTGGCCTGATGACTGGACAGCTGTGACGCAGGACGGCATGCGCTCCGCACAGTTTGAGCACACTTTTCTCGTGACAGAGACGGGCTGCGAGATCCTGACTGCACGTGAGAATGAGCCGATGATGGAATGGGACTTCGCTAAGGTGCACCGCCCGTAACTGTACGACATTCGCAAACTTATGCGACTTTGTGAATTGCAAATGGTATTGTCGTAGCTTGCTCGAGCTGCTGAATGAGTGGCTGTGTGATTTGCTTCCAAGAAGAGCAATCATGTAGGTAACAACCCTATTCGTGCTCGTACGTACTATTGTGCACCTGTGCTATCGACAGGTAACGCACTGCGTCTGTACTCAATATAAACGCATTGAACCGCTCTATGCTTGTACTTACTTGGTGATGAAATATCGTCAATTCAGTTAGAGGGCTTGCGACATCCCGACTTAGATGGTCTGTTGCAGCACTTAAGGTCCAATAAATTGTGACACACAACTTCTCATTCGTGGTCACGTTAAACATCAGTAATGCCGCAAGCAACACAGTAATAAGCGCTCTGCACTCTCAAAATCGATCGTCGAGATTCCGAGTATGTTGGTGAACGTTACGATGATAGCAACGCCGATTACCTGGCAGATAAGACTTAAGCGAATTTTAGCATGATAATTTTACTGACTTTCGAGCGAGCTCAGAGCGTAGGAACCAACAATGACACCTCGAAAACATGGTCGAAAAATAAAGAGCTGCTGCGAACTCTTGAACTCGGATCCCGTCGTGACGTTCACGCGTTTTGTCAGCGACTTACGTATCCTTCAATTTCGACATCTCGTGATATTTGCTGACAAGTGACCGCTTTTGTCACGCACGGTGTGTACTCTACTCAAGGGTAAAAAGCGTTGAGTGTTTACTTCTGGTGTGCTGGCTGCATTAGAGCGGATCAGCAGTCAGTATACCTTAACTTTCTGTCCAATCAAAATATGTTATTTGGTTTTACTCATAAAAGTGCGCCATAGCAACGACAAATATCAGGGGATTACTCGTAACGGGAGTGCCTCCGTAACATGATAATTTGCATCAGGTAATTAACAAGTATAAATATTAGACTAGGACAAACACAATATCCTCACAATATAATCCTTATAGGTCATGTTGCTTCGCAGATGTAATACATTGCCCATTGGTTGATATAGGACCAAGAAATAAACCAATAAAGTCTAGCTTTGACAGAAGCACGCTATGAGTGGTGCGCAGATAGTTACAATACATGTATGTACTTAGACATGGATAAACGAAGTCTAAATAGGAAGTATTATCGTGGGAATTAACTGTACTAAACACACTTCTACTTTTTACCTTTACTGAGTACTCTAACTTGTCACATGGCATCCTGTGTTAAAGTTGTGTGGTGCGTCTCAGTGGACGAGGCACATGCAATGAACCGTTTCGCGGTCAGGAAGGACTGTTGGGATACTTGCAAAGATTTAAAAGATACAAGAACGACTCTTCAGAGACCATAGAAAGATCATCAAGAAGTAGGTATGTACCACACTGACAACGCTGGTATATTTTCGCTTTTTCATTACCTCCCTGCGTTGCAGATCTCTTTCCTACGTTACTCCGTTTATCAATCTTTCTCTGCACGTACGTGTAGGTGAGGTAGTCGGACGCACACCCTTGCACTGTCGGCTGTTCACAGTCTGTTCAGTTAGCTGAACAAGGTGTGTCCCGTTACCTAACTCGAGGAATAGTAATTTTTTCGTTTTCCCGCCTACGTTTTGTAGTTCTGTGACACCCGAGATACTTTTTGGCTGCATGTTGTTGGCTGAAGATTATGAGATGAATCAGGTCATTAACTAAGCATAAGAGCATGTCATTGGCTATAATTGACAGAGAAGAACGATAATTCGAAGTCGACGAAGTCGTTCCAAATGACACTCACAAAGTTATGTCGTTGGTTCGAACTAAGGACAAAAAAAACCGAGGCGACCACAGCTTTATCAGTCACATTCGGCTGAAAACACATTAAATTGCATAGTTATACTGACTGCTGTAAAGTGTTTTTCAGTATAAGTTTGAGAGAAAGTGATACTGGTCTATGATTGGTACACAAAAAGTTAAGCCATACTCACTGCAAGAGACGCTCGTAGCTTTATGGATACGAAACAAGCGCAAACGCAAGTGGCGTGCTTTTATTTTTATCCACCAAAACTTACACAAAACATCGCTCGTCTGTCCGTCGCATGAGGTAAGGGCGTATTGGTTTCATATTTTTACTGTCCGACGTCAATCGATTGATTTACGATAGAATTCATCAATCAGCACGAATCCTCTGATTGGAGTAGACCACTCGTTTCTAACGCATATTTATTATAGGATTTGGCAACATGCAAGACTTGGTCAGTGTTGTTTCCAGTAAAACTCTGATGAGCCATTTCTGTTGGCTATTTCCGGTAAGAGTTGCATCGGCCGTCATGGATTAGCTCTTTAGTCAGCTAAAGAACAATGATGGAGCGTATAGATTAACTACAGTAAACTCGTCGCGACTTGTGCATGAGATCTTATATATCACATTCACTAACGCATGCTTATCAGCTTTGTCTTAGCCACAATTGTTCCTTTTTTAGTTTTTCCTACGGCGGTAAATGCCACGGTCGACCGTGTACACCAAGAATATCGATAAAGCTCATCCAGACGGTTCGAGTCTGATCCCGGGACTTCCTACTTCCAAAGTGGCGCCTCTTTGACGTTGTCTTTGTGGACGAAAATGATCAAGAACATCAACACGACAGCTTTGCCTCTGTAAATGCTCGAGGATGTCTTGACATTTTTAGACATCAGTATTTATTCACTTACATGTCAATATGTTTCTTTCTGCAGTACTCAAATACACTGTATGATGATGAAACAAATGGCCAAATGGTACATGACAGATAGTAACATGATGTTACCACCGAACGTTTGCAATGACTATTCTGCCTGCAGCTTCTCTCGGACTTGCCCATGTGCTAGTTCTTTGGAATTTGTGGAATCGATTTATTATGGTTTGCTATATGATTTTAGACAGCGTAGCCACCTTTAGTACAAGCAAAGTCAACTAACCGCACCAAATGGAGGTCAGCCATGCCCATCGATTGCCTCCGGACATGTTTATCTCTATGTGCTAGCTTGGGTGCCATAGTGGTACGTATGTCCGAATATGGTGATTTTACGATGCAATTTCAGCGGTCACCACTTGGTATTTATGAGCTCTTAGCTCCTCTGATTAAAGTCATACCCTTACAAAATTGCAGAGATAAGAAGGTGATTGGTACCTTTTTAGGGTGCGAACTGTTGCTACAAATGATGAACCCTTCCATTCGTTCTGCAACATCGTCTCTGGATTAACACAAATATTGCTTCAGGGTCAAAGTTCGTAGTAATATCTTTGCAATCACGTTTGTACCCAAGTCGTCCAAGGCGTCTCATTTTCATGCACCCGCAGCATATTTGCTGTCAGTGCTGCATATTAAGCATTCTTGTTGTTTTAAATGTTCATCTTCGAGAAAAGGTAATCTGCTAAAGAAGAAACGGCCGTGCTATGTGCGCAGATATTCTCAAACGTTTTGTATTTGACACCACGCGACTTGGACGTTTCCACTTTCGGTCGAGATCGATTACTGCTTGAATACTGGATCTCTTTTGTGTTTGTTTAAACTGAAGCATTTTGAAGAACGATGGCAACAAACAATAACCATACCAAATAGCCCGCGCTACCTGATAGAGCTGCAGAGATTAGCCTATAGCGTGACTGGACAGACAGCAAGTCGCCAGGCGTCTAGCCGATGATGTATAGAAACTTAGTTGCGGGTAGACGGTGAGAGGCGGTTCAATTGTCCAATTTCGACGTGACGTGACGTCTCGGGACAATTTGAGACATTTAGGTGGACGAAATTTTAGCTCGCTGAGTGACGCTAAAACTGGGTGGGGCAAAATACTGATAAGAGAGATGGGTATCCAGTGCTGCGATCGGAGCAGGGTCGGCCATCTCGTTATAATCGTGGAAATGATATGCCCATCCGGCGACTTGGATAGCACTGCTATTGCTTAGGCCGTAAGATATAGTGCAGCGAGGTGCGGATACCGAGGCGATTGGTGCATTCAAAGCTGCAAAACCAACGGAGAGTCGTTTTCAATGACGTGCTACGGCGTAAATACGCTGTGTTTAGCCACTCGCCAACCGAAAAATCAGACCGCGGTTCGCAGCCACGGTACCCAAAGTTGAAGACGAGCTCAGGGCAAAACTGCCAATCCATATAGCACTTGCCGCATGTGACTGCGCCTGTAGTCGGACGACGACGGACCCAGATACACGAGGACCGGGGTTACCGTTCGATGCACCGGCAAAAAGAAGTTAAATGGTCCGTGAGCACCTGCCCTGAAATCAGAGATCTCAATGGAGGCAGCGGAGAATGCTGCAGAGTCTCATCCGGCAGTGCCGAACGCATTCGTGCTAGCACAAAATCCGAAGTGGTCCCACCACATAGGATAGCAAAGCCACAAAGAAGAATCACCTCCCGCCGAATCCTAACTCGAGAGGAAGCCACGTGGATCGCATCGGGTAAAGTTGTATCATCCATCGGGCAGAGCCTCTCCATCCAAATGTCATGAAGGTTTGTCGACGAGAAAGTGCCAGAGCTCGTTCGCTGTAACGGGGCACCCTGAAGCTTGTACTGATGACAGTACAAGCTACTTATTCTAATGACAGAATGAGGCGGTGCCGCGTAACTTCATGTACACTCGTACGTGCAGAGGAAGACGGTAAGAAGAAGCGAGTACTTGGTTAGAGTAAAAAGTAGAACTGTCTTTATCATAGTTAATGTCGGTTAATAAATCGCTATTTATCCTCATCTAGCTATGTCTGAATACAAATGTGCATATCAATTATCTGCTCACCACTCATTGCGTGCGTCTGTCGTGGCGCGTCTTCGTTGGTTGATATAATGGCCTATATCAACCAATCAGGAACTACTCGTAAGTGCTGCAGAATATTTGTCCTTATGACACTATTCTGAGAATATAACTCTGATAGTTATATTATATTAACAATTTCTTATAAATTGTTATGTAACGATTCACCCCGTTACATCACCCCCCCCTTAACCATCAGTCACTTTAGTGACTGATTGACTAAATGGATACTCGTCCCAAATCATTTGGGACAGGGCTTGCACTTGTTGGTCCGCGTCCACTTTCCAACATCTCATCGCATGGTTGACAAGCCCATGCGGTGCGCGAGCAAGGCCGCCTAGAGCGCGTCCGCACGTCTCTGTGTGGACGCCGAAGCAGAAACCAAAGCAACTGATGTCTCATCGGTTGCTGAAGCGACTCATCCTGTGTCACCTGCTGATGCAGGCGCTCGTCATGAAGACACTCATGTCTTCACAGAGTATGAGCTCGGTGTCTCATACTCTCGTGATACGGATGACGGATCCGTATCGACGGCGATCAAATCCAAGCCGCCTGCCAAGCGTGGCATGGATGATGCTTTGCGTCGTAGCATCTTTGGTTCATCTGATGAATCAGATGAACCATCGCCGAAGCGAAGGCGCTCGAGGTCGCGAGACTCGGGCGCTAATAGTGGTGTCGGTTCTCCAATGGACACCACTTCGCAACGAGGTGCCAGTACTTCTGTCGACACGTCGCAGGAAGAGCGGTACCGCAATGTCTTGCGTCTCGCTCCTGAGAAGAAGGCATGGATGCCTCCAAAATCCGTCATGGATCACTTGTAGGCGACGACGAGTGATCGTTATCGAACACGATTGTTCGATTCGTCAAGGATCCATCACCTTGACCCCAGCGCGAAAAACTATCACACTGAGAATGAATTCTTCATCGATGCTTTCTTTAAACATCGATGGTACAGTGGGAATAACAAACGTGATGGTCCCTCACTGCTTCAAGCGTGTAACACCTACATCCATAATCTTGAGGATGTAGGTCGTGACGTTTGGAACGACAAACTTATCAAAGCTCGTGATAAGTTTGAAAAGCGAACCCCGACAGGTGCACGCTACAAGCTGCATCGTCTGTCAAGGGAGAAAGGATTACCCTGCCTCTCTTGGGGAGACTCGTGCCCATGTTGTGTGAACAACTCTGCACGAGCACCTAAGGAGGCTTACCTCCTTACCAGCCCGTGGTGGCGCGTACGTATCTCTACTGAGATGTACGAAGGGATTGACAACCTGAAATCCCTTTACGACCGTGCCGGGAAGACTTTCTCCGGCGGTCCTTCTGCGGCACAGGATGTGCCGCGTCGTACTGCTCAACCAGACCCAGTACGTCAACCATCAGTTGGGAGCGGGGCTCCCAAGAATCACAGGACGGGGGATAGCCGCGCCACCGGACGAGATAACTCGTCCGACGTCCGTTCACGTCGCGGTGGTTCAACAGCTTCTCAACTAGATAGCGCTGGCCACCGCGAGAGTCCTCTAATGGAAGTGGAGGAGGAGGAAAGACGCTCTCCACACGATCATGTGGATCGGTGTGTTCCCGAGAGCTTCTTTGATCGCGTAACGCAAGGGTTACGCGACGATCTCGAACATGAGCGGTACAGGCGTCTCCAGCTGGCGGACACTGCCTCGAAGCATCGAGCTGAGTTTGCCTTTGCTCAGCTCGAGAACGAGAGATCTCTGACATCTCTTCGTGACGAGCTAATGGTAGCTCGTGGGATTGTTGATCGGTCTCGGGCTGAGATAACTGCTCTTCAGACCCTTGTTGATGCCCACCATCGGGAGCACAAGGCTCTCTGCGAGATGCTTGAGCGCAAGGGCGTTCTTCATCGGAAGAATCAGCGTACTGATGGTACGGCTTAAGCCGACCAACGTAAAACGTGGGATGCGTTCGCATCTTACGTGGTAACTCGATCGTGTATGCATTGCCTAGGCGGTGCAATACACGAAATGGGCCAATGTACTTGGGTAGTAGTTTACTGCTACCCAAGTTAGTCACTACATGCTTTGGTAGATTAACCGTAGACAGTAGGACTAAGTCACCTTTTTAAAAAAAAAGAGTGTTTGCCCTTCCATTCTTGTCAGCGTTTTGCTTTTGCTTATCCACCGCTTCGGCGATGGAGTCTTGCACAAAACGGACTACCGTTTCACGAGCCAGTATGAACTCATCTGATGACTCGTTAGATTCTGTTCGCTGTGAGTGCACTGCAGCAACATCAATCTTTTCTTCAGTGAGGGCTTCCGCACTCTCACTGGCATCATCCTCGATATCGATGTTATCGATATCGGCATCGAACGCAATGACTTCTTCGTCAGAGCGTGATGAGCGTGAACCAAATCGGTTTTTGCTCGCGCGAGTCCCTCCCCCCCCTTAAACCAGAGTTACACTCTAGTAAGGTGGGTACACGCGGATGGCGCAAGCCATTCACGTAAAACGGTGTATGTGTCGTGGACGCATGCACCGAGTTGTTAATGGCAAACTCTACCATTGGCAAAAACTCACTCCAACTCTTAAAGGAGTGTACGTATCCTCGAAGTATCTCTTCAAGGACACGATTGGCACGTTCCGTCTGACCATCTGACTCTGGATGATCAGATGTCGACATCTTCAAGCGCGTTCCGAGTGATTTGAGCACGGAACGCCAGAAATCAGCAGTGAAGCGTGGATCTCTGTCTGATACGAGTTCACGGGGCAACCCATGAAGTCGGAAGATGGTGTCGATAAAGACACAAGCTCAGCCACTTGCCGTGATTGACTCTGGTACAGCCACAAGGTGTACCATTTTGCTGAATCTGTCAACAAATACGAGATACCCGTATTCCTGCGTGCGTCTTTGGGTAACCCAAAGACAAAATCCATTGAGATGGATTCCCAGCACTTAGCCGGAACCGGTAGAGGCTGTAAAGGTGCACGCAGTGAAGGACTTGACTTCACTCGTTGACAGACTTCGCATGCGCGAAGGTACCTGCGCACAAACTGATACTGGCGGGGCCAGTAAAAGTCTCGACTTACCGTGAGATATGTTTTCTCCCGGCCACGATGTCCTCCTATAGGAGCATCGTGATACTCGAACATGATCCGCAAACGCAGATCAGTATCATCTGGAATGACAACACGTGGTGTGTCACCAGTAACGGCTGAATAATACAGTAAACCGTCGCGAGTAGTGTATCTATCTGATGCATATTGATACGCAGACGACAATCGTTTCAACGATTCTCGATATGGCTGTGAGAGATGTGTCAACAACTTCACAATCTCATCATCTTGGGAGTACGCCCGCCTCACATCATCATACAACGTTGTAGATGGGACTGAGGACGTCATAACCGCAACAGTGGCTGTCTCACTGTTGGGTTTCACGACTGGTTCAAAGTCGGGACGACGTGAGAGTGTATCAGCGACGACATTAGGTCGTCCTGGTTTATACTATACCGTAAAGTTGTATTTTGCAAAGAATGACAACCACCGCGCCATTCGTTGTGAAAGGTGCGGGCTGTTCACTGCCATGCGTAAAGACGCATGGTCAGTGTAAACAATGAAGGGCCTATCTCCTAACAGATAGAATCTGAACTTCGCGAGTGCTTACTTCATGGCAAGGAGTTCCTTGTCATGCACTGTATAGTTCCTCTCAGCTGGTTGCAGCTGACGCGACTGATAGCAGACGACGCGTTCAACGCCTTCAAGATCGTACTGCATTAATGCACAGCCGATTGCGAAATCGCTGGCATCACAGACCACATGAAATGGCCTGCCCTGATCGGCAATTGTTAGGACTGGGGATTGTATCAAGCTCTGCTTGATACCCTCAATAGAGCGTTGACATTCAGCGTTCCATAACTACCTCTCGTTCTTTTTCAACAAACGAGAGAGGTGCACAGTCATCTCGGCGTAATTGCGTGAGTACTTGTGCAAATATGCCGCTAGCCCAAGGAATTTTCGAAGACCTTTGACATCAACTGGCACAGGCCAGTCAGTGATCGCCTTGATCTTTTCGGGATCAGGACGTACACCGTTCTTACCAACGATGCACCCAAGAAGTGGTATTTCGCTTGCTGCAAATATACACTTCTTGAGATTTGCATACAATTGATGCTTTCGCATGATTGTAAGAACCTTTCGGACGTGGTACCTGTGAACCTCAACGTCCGACTTTCCATCCATAGCCCGACTATGGATGAATACGTCATCGAAATTACTCGGCGCGAATTCTCGTACTGGTCTCAACATATGTGATACACATCTGTTGAACGTGGCAGGGGCATTACTGAGCCCTTGTGGCATTACTAGCCATTCCCAGAGCATGCCGCTAGGCGTGCTAACTGCGGTATAGGGTATATCCCGTTCCCGCATAAGGATTTGATAGAAGCCATCCATCAAATCCATGGACGAAAAGATGGTACTCTTTGACATACCATCAATGATTAAGTTCTTCCTCGGTATCGGCGTCTGAGCCGGTACCGTTGCAGCATTCAACTTGTTGAACGCGTGCAATATCCGCCACCCTCCTGTTGCTTTTCGCACACAGAAGGTCGGAGAGCTATGTGGGAAACTTGATTCCCTCACATGGCCCGCAGCTAAACGATCGGCAAAGAACTTGTCGATCGCAAGTACTTGTTCACGAGGCAGTGGCCACTGCTTCAAGACATAGTACTTCGAGCCTGGTTTAAGCTCGACCTCGTGTCGAATACCTTTATCCTTCGGTAATTTGCACAAAACAGTTTCAAAGAATACATCCTTGAATTTAACCAAATCTTCAAAGAGATGTTTTGTCTTGAGCGATTCCCACGATTGGGAGTCATATCGCTCAACTCGTGTCTTTTCATCAAGGACACTCTCGTTCATCGGTGAACTACTGAGAACTCTCTCGTTCTCAGTAAACACTGTTGCTGACCTTATGTCGGCTACACACTCGTCTTCAGCGACGAGTACGCAGATCTGCTTGACTTTGCCACTACGCAGATCACGCAAGAACCTTTTATGTTCGAGCGTTGCCAACTGAGTGATCTCTGAAGTCATCTTCGGAGGCGCAATCAGATCAAGTGTATAAGCGCCTACACTTGATCCGTTATTGACTATGACATTCAATGTCTCTGTCATTTCCTGGGGACTTATTCCCTCAGGCTTCGAAGGACTTATTCCTTCGGCTTCCCGGGGACTTATTCCCGCGGGTTTCGGGGAACTTATTTCCGCCGTATTTGTAATCTTGGGACTTATTCCCTTAACTTCCTCTAGCTGTGGTTGCGCAACCACAGCGAGATCCTCTACGAAAGACTCTCCAGTCGATCTAGGATTATCGTTTCGCTTAACCTGAGCGATCAATTGTTTCTCTTCTAGATGTTCCCCGCTAGGGGTACATCTTTGTCTCGGTCCACTCGACTTATTCGAGCGGTGGACCTTCGGCGCAGCCTGTGTTTCCTCACAGCCATCGGAACTTTGCTCCGAAGTGTAACCGTTTGTTACACTAAGGTTTTGTACAGTCGTACTAACGACCGTACCACAAGTGAGGTCATCGCACTCACTCGTAGTACATCCACACGCTTGTGGACGCTCCAAAACGTTCATCAGATGGCCATCTGATGAACAAGCGGCAGGCATCGTTACTGTTCGATGTTGCCAGTTTACCCGTGGTTCGTACCTTTTGAGCCACGGTATCCCAAGGATGACATCAAATTTGTCATCCAAATCCAATACGATAAAGTCATCGTCATGTTGGGTATCTTCTAGCGTATAGTGGATCTTCACTATACGCTTCATGACGGTTACGGATGCGCCTGTCGCAAGACGTACCGTAATCCTCGTAGGAGGTGTGTCACATTCACTGAATTAAAGTGACCATATTCTAGCGATTGGCGTCGCACAAAATTGTTGGACGCCCCACAATCGACTAGAGCTCGAAGGACAACTTATTCGCCACTTCGAGTTTCAAGGTAATGAGTGAGACCTCATTACCTAGAGCAGCAGCGCACAACGTTTGTGTGTTGGGAGCAAACTTCATCAAGAGGCCTACAAATTCTCTTGACGTTGCTGGATCAGTAGGGTGCTCCGCACCTACTGATCCTGTCCGTTTTTTACGGTCCATCCCGTTGTTGCGTCTTTGCACCAACTGCGGACCCGCGTCCCTGCCCCTTTCTCATGGGTGGACGGTCACTACGCCCAGTGGTGCGAGACACTGGACGAGGGGCACTACACTCGTAAGCGTAGTGTCCTGTCTTTTGACATCTGTTGCATTTCTGCAAATTCTTGTAGTCTGTAGAGCGAGCCTTATCGCTCTCTACATAACAGAGTTCCATCGGCTCTGGACCTCCGCTGTCATATCGTCTCGGCTGACGATATGATGTCGAGCTGGCGCGAGCCTGTCTCAGACTGAAGTCTTCCTGCTCCGCAATGGAAATGGCTTGTTCTAGTGAATCTAGTTCAAGCCGGAACAGGTGAGTCTTGACGGGACCATCCGCAAGACCCTGCATGAACACCGAAACCAACGTGTGTTCATCCACCGGATTGGAACTTATACAGCTCGTAAGATGTCGTATATGTTGCGCGTAAGCGTGCATATCACGCTTACCTTGTTTGAGCTTCAAGAGTCGGTTCGAGCTCTGAACTCAGCTCTAGGCGGTTCAAACGTTTGTCTGAGCCGCGACTTGAAGACTTCCAACGACCCAAACGCATATGGGTCGTGCAACTTGAGCCCCAGTGCCCAAGTCTTGGCACGTCCTGCCAGATTTGACTGGGAAAATGCAACTTGCAAATCCCCGTCGTCGATGCGACGCGCCCTTATGGCGTCATCCAATTCGACGAAACATCTCAAGAGGGAGTCCTCTTCGACTCCCCTATACTTGGAGATGTCAATCTTCAAGGTTTCGGGTCGACGCGAGTGCATCGACCCACCAGCAGCAGCCTGCTGCTGTCTCAACAGTTCAAACTGTTGAGCACCTTGTTCTCTCAACAACTCTGCTTGTTGAGAAACTTGTTGGTGAAGCAAGGCTACTTTCTCGCGTTCAGCGTCAACTTCATTTTGAATGAACTTGGCGATAGTAGCATGTTGGGCATCTCTATTGAGAGCCTCTAGCATGACGCTAACAGCATGGATGCCCATGGTTGAACCCATTCGTTCAACCGCATCCCATTCGACATCGCTCAAATGGGAGTAGCCGTCACGCGTAGCGTGAAAGCTTTGGTCATCTTCATCATCTAACATATTCATGTTAGATGTGAACGTGGTCCTTGAACGGACTACGAAGTGCTACCAGGTGTAACGGGGCACCCTGAAGCTTGTACTGGTAACAGTACAAGCTACTTATTCTGATGACAGAATAAGGCGGTGCCTCGTAACTTCACGTACACTCGTACGTGCAGAGGAAGACGGTAAGAAGAAGCGAGTACTTGGTTAGAGTAAAAAGTAGAACTGTCTTTATCATAGTTAATGTCGGTTAATAAATCGCTATTTATCCTCATCTAGCTATGTCTGAATACAAATGTGCATATCAATTATCTGCTCACCACTCATTGCGTGCGTCTGTCGTGGCGCGTCTTCGTTGGTTGATATAATGGCCTATATCAACCAATCAGGAACTACTCGTAAGTGCTACAGAATATTTGTCCTTATGACAATATTCTGAGAATATAACTCTGATAGTTATATTCTATTAACAATTTCTTATAAATTGTTATGTAACGATTCACCCCGTTACAGGAAAGGAATTGTCAGGCTAGACAATATTCCTATTGACACCGTTGGTTTCAATATCATGTAACGGGCTAGCCCGTTACATCACCCTCCCTTATACATCAATCACCCGTTGATTAATTAGAATTATTTGGGACAGGGTGACCAATATTGGATCCTTCTGGTAAAGAGAGCACTAGTTGGTCGAATTCCAACTCATTCGCCAATGCATCTCATGTCAAAGTCCATGCGAAGTGCTGCCGAAGCAGTAAGAAAGGCGGTTGCACGCATGTGTGCAGCCGAAGAGATTTCTTATCTTGCTTCAGCAGCAGGTGATGCTTTGCCTGCTGTTGCGAACTGTTCACGTGGTGAGCCACCACGTGCAACAGATACATCCGCTGCATCTGCAGCGGGTGCTGCACCACTCAATGTAGAAGGGCCTGAAATAAAGCTCATCTTTTCTCGCGACTCGGATGCATCATCCGACACGAAAGCGACACCTCACACCTCTGGATCATCCGAGGCGGACACTGCTAGAGCCAAAAAATTTACAGGATCTGGAGAATGTGGCGGCATCATGTCCGATATCTTTGGACCGAAAGCGATTCTTCTGACAAATCCTCGCCTCACGCAAGTCCATCCGAAGATAGGAATCGTAGTGATGGTGGTGATGCCCCTATGCATTACCAAGGGAGAAGAAACTCGAGGGTTCGAGCCGCCACTAGAGTCAGTTCTCGTGCTGACACCACTCAAGAGGACAGGGACCGCAATGTCCTGCGCCACCCTCCTCAAGTGGAGTCTCCTTGGATGCATTCATCCAAAGATCTATATCGACTGGCCGGAATGACCACCGAACGGGATCGAATCCCGTTGTTCGACTGTAGGAGGATCTGTCCTCATAATTCTAGCACGGAAACTATCCGTGCTGAGGAAGAGTTCTTCACCGATGTGTTCTTTAAGCATCGGTGTTACAATTGCAACCGTGGTCGAGACAGTAAGGCCTTGGTGGAAGGATAGAATGCCTTCATCCATAACATCGAGTGCCTTGGCCATAAGGCCTGGCTGGGTAAACTTGATGCACTCGCATCAGGCTTAAAAAGCGTAACCCAGTCGGTGTACGCTACAAGTTGCACCGGCTTGCAAGAGAGGCATGACTACCCTGTCTTTCATAGGTTGGTTTGTGTCCAGGTTTCCTGGACATCTCGCACTGTGCCCCTGGGGAGACCTACCTCCCTAATGTTCCCTACTGGAGGGCGCGCATCTCTTCTGAGATGGTAGAAGGAATTGAAACTTTGCAATCTCTGTACTCGCGTTCGGGGAGACCATTTTCCGATGGCACTTCTTCAAACGCAGCTGGTGGTTCTCATCATATTGCTCGACGAGACCAAGGAAATCAACAATTAGCTGGGCACGAGGCTCCCAGCTGTCCCAGGGGCCGGTGGATAGCCACGCCAGCGGACGAGGTAACTCGTCCGGACGTCACTCACGTCGCGGTGATTCAAAAGACGCTCCACGAGAAAGCGTTGACCACCGCTTAAGTCCACCAAAGGATGTGGTGGCGGCAAGAACACCTGATCCGGCTCGAGGGACGGATCAGCTTGATGTTCTGGAACCGAATCGTGTGACGGATCAGTTTTACGATAAAATGTCTCATGAACGGACTCGGCTCATTATTTACTCAGCGTTATGAGCTCCATGGTCTTGTAAGGGATAATTTCAATTCCTTGGCGCACGATCAATCGAACGATCATGCCGCAGTTGCATTAGCGTAACTTGAGAACGGAAGTTCGGTTCGTTCTCTACGTGACGACCTGAATGCAGCTTGTCAGAACATTTCTCAATTGCATGAGAAGGTCTCTTTGCTAGTCGACCGGACTGGCTCGTTGAATCGGGACCACTCGAAGGTAGTCTCGGCTCTTGACCGCGGAGGTGTTCTTCACCTCTCGAAACGGGATCGTGCTAATAGTACGCGCGGAGACGACCAACGTAAAACGTAGGATGCGTACGCATCCTTCGAGGCAGTTCAATCGCGTATGCGTTGCCATACGGCGCAACACACGAAATGGACCAATATACTTAAGAAGTAATTTACTGCTGCCCACGTTTTTCACTGCGTAGTCTGGTATATTTACTGTAGACAGTAAACTAAGTCTCCTTCATCAAAAAAGAACATTTGATCTTCCGTGCTTGTCTGCGTTTTTTCTGTCTGTCTAGTGCATCTGCAAAGAGTCTTGAACAAAGCGGACAACCGCTTCGCGAGTCAGCAGAAATCCCTCTGCTGATTCATCCTTGTCAACAGCAGTGCGCTTCGTGTGCACTGATGAGAGAACGTTGTCGTCATCATTGAGGGCGTCGTCGTCACAACTGTGGCAGTCATTGGAGATGCTGAATATACCAGCATAGTCGTCATCATCATCATCGATATCGATCGCATCGGCATCGGCATACATCACGTCGACATCATTGTCGACGGGAGATGAGCAAGAACCAGATTGGTTTTGGGTCAAGCGATTCCCCCCCTTAAACTAGAGTCACGTTCTAAGAAGGCGGGTAAACGTGGATGGCGTAGGCCATTCACGAAGAACGGTTCATGCGTTGTCGACGCATGTACCGAGTTGGTGATGGCGTATTCCGCCATCGGCAAGAACTCACTCCAACTCGTAAACGAGTGGACATACCCTCGAAGTATCTCTTCGAGGACGCGGATGACGTGTTTCGTCTGACTATCTTTTTCTGGATGGTCAGAAGTCGACATCGTCAAACGTGTTCCAAATAAACGGAACACAGATTGCCAGAACTCCGCTGTGAAGCGAGGGTCTCTATCAGACACGAGTTCAGGGGTAACCCGTGAAGTCGGAAGATAGTATCGATGAAGACATGAGCACAGCCCTGGGAAGTGATTGAATCCAATACAGCTACATGGTGTACCACCTTGCTGAACCAATCAACAAACGCAAGAATACCAGTATTCTTGTGCGCGTCTTTGGAAACCCAAAGACGAAGTCCATCGATACGGACTGCCAGCACGCTTCCGGAATCGGTAGAGGCTGCAAGGGTACGCGGGATGAAGGACTAGGCATCACCCGTTGACAAAATTCGCAGGCGCGAATGTATTTCCGCACAAACCCATACTGGCGGGTCAGTCGAAGTCACGACTTACCGTGAGGTAAATCTTTTCTTAACCGCGATGCCCACTTGTTGGGGCATCGTGACACTCATACGTGATGCGCAAGCGCAATTCATCATGAGCTGGAACGACGACACGAGGTGTGTCGCCGTTGATCGATGTATAGTACAGCAGTACATCACGAACAAAATACCGTTCGGTTGAAGAGCGGTATTGAGACGTCAAGTTTTTCAGAGCTTGACTGCATGGTTGGCTACATTATCCATCAACCACAGAAGAGACTTGTCTTCTGTGTATGCTTTTTGCACGTAGTCGAGCAGATTTGACAACAGAACACTCACTTATAGTGTCGCTACAGTGAAATCACCCCTACTGTTGTGCTGAGCAGTCGGCTCGAAATCGGGCCGACGTGAAAGAGCATCAGCGACGACATTAAGTCGTCCTGGTTTATACTCGACGGAGAAGTTGTACTCCACAAAGAAAGACAGTCGCCTCGCCATTCGTTGCGAGAGGTGTGGGCTGTTTACGGCCGTGCGTAACGATGCATGTTCGGTGTAAACTATGAAGGGCCTATCTCCTAAGAGATATACCCGAACCTTGGCCAGTGCAGATTTCATGGCAAGGAGTTCCTTTTCATGCACCAGGTAATTTCGCTCAGCTGCTTGCAGCTGAAGCGATTGATAACTGACAACGCGCTCAACGCCGTCTGAGTCGTACTGCATTAACGCGCAGCCAATTGCAAAATCGCTGGCGTCACAGACCACATGAAATGGTCTATCCTGGTCTGCAATTGCCAACACAGGCGATTGTGTCAAGCTTTTCATGATAACTTTGAAGGAGTGCTGACACTCAGCGCTCCATGAACACCTCACCTTTTTATTTAACAGACGAGAGAGATGTACGGTCATCTAGGCGTAGATTGTACGAGTATTTGTGCAAGTACGCCGCCAAGCCAAGGACCTTTCGAAGTCTCTCGACGTCGACTGGCACAGGCCATTCGCTAATCTCCTTAATCTTTTCCGGATCAGGACGCACACCGTTTTTACCCAAGATGCAGCCAAAAAGTGGGATTTCGTTCGCTGCGAATATGCACTTCTTGAGGTTAGCGAACAACTTATGCTCTCGCATGAGTGTAAGAACCTTTCGGACGTGGGTTAGATCACCATCTACGTCCGTCTTTTCATTCACAGCACGGCTATGGACGAATACATCGTCGAAGTAACTCGGTGAGAGATCGCGCACCGATCGCAACAGGTTCGAAACACATCTGTTGAACGTTGCGGGCGCGTTACTTAGCCCCTGTGGCATCACTAGCCACTCCCAGAGCATACCACTGGGGTGCTCACTGCTGTTTAAGGGGTATCCCTTTCACGCATGAGGATCTGATAAAATCCATCCATCAAATTTATGGATGAAAAGATGGTGCTCTTTGCCATACCTTCTATGATGACATCCTTTCTTGGGATCGGCGTTTGAGTTGGTACCTTTGCAGCATTCAATTTGTTGAACGCGTGCACTACCTGCCGCTCTCCTGTGGCCTTTCGCACACAGAAGGTTGGATAGCTGTATGGGAACGTTGATTCCCTCACATGACCAGCCGCTAAACGATCGGCAAAGAATTTGTCGATCGCTGTGACCTGTTCACGAGGCAGTGGCCACTGCTTCATGACAAATCATTTCGAATTAGGTTTCAGTTCGATCTCATGCCGAGTGCCTTTGTCTTTGGGCAGCTCGCATGGCACGAATTCAGAGAAAACATCCCTGAATTCGACCAAATACTCATACAAAGGATTTGTCTTCAACAACTCCCAAGATTGAGACGTGTATCGCTCAATCCGGGTCTTCTCATCGAGAAAACTCTCATTTATCGATGAGCTACTGAGAACCTGTCTGTTCTCAGCAAACATTTGTGCCGACCGAATATCGGCGACGTACTCTTCCTCTGTGGCGAGTACGCAGATCTGCTTAATCATGTCACTACGCAGATCTCGCAAGAATCTTTTAGATTCTAGCGTTGGCAACTTGACTACATCCGAAGCTGTATTCGGGGGCGTAACCAGATCGAGTGTATAAGCGCCTACACTTGATCCGTCATTCACCAAGACATTCAGTGTCTCGGTGATTTCCTGGGAAAACACATCCGCAGGTGGTTGGGGAACCACACCCTCAACATAACCGTCTCGGGAGCTATCACCCTCAGGAACGCTGGAATTTTCTTTCAATACGTGCACTGACTGTGGTTGCACCACCACAGTCACGTCCTCTTCGATCGACTCTCTTTCAGTCGATCGGGCTTGCTCTGCGATCGACTCTCTGATAGTCGATCTCGCTTCAACGTGTTGTTCATCCTCAACAAAACTAATCTCTCTTCTTGGATGCACACTTCTTGGTGTGCATCCATGTTCCAGTCCACTCAATCTATTCAAGTGCTGAGCCTTCGGCGCAACCTGTGTCTCTACACACGTGCCGGAAGCTGGTTCCACAGTGTAGTGACCTTCTACACTGTGTTCTTGTGCAATTGTACTAACGACCGTACCACAAGTGAGACCATCGCACTCACTCGTAGTACATCAACACGCTTGTGGACGCTCCAAGACGTTCGTCAGATGGCCATCCGATGAACAAACGGCAGGCATCTTCACGGATCGATGCTGCCAGCTAACCCATGGCCTGTACTTTCTAAGCCATGGCAGACCATGGATGACATCAAATTTGTCATCCAAATCCAATACGATAAAGTCATCATCGTATTGTTTTCCTTCTAGCGTGTAGTGGATTCCCACTACACGTTTGTTCACTGTTACGGATGCGCCTGTAGCAAGGCATACCGTCATCCTCGTTGGAGGGAAATCTCGCTCAACATTATTGAGCCTACTATCCCCTAGCTACTGGCGTCGAATAAAACTGTTCGACGCACCACAGTCAACTAGAGCGCGAAGTGACATTCCACTTGTCACTTTGATCTTCAAAGTGATGAGAGACTCCTCATCACTAAAGGCAGTACACACAGAGACTGTGTGTTGGGAGCAATCTTCGTCAAGAGTCCTGCAAATTCTCTTGACGTTGCTGGATCAGCAGGGTGCTCCGCCCCTACTGACCCTGACCGTTCTTTGACGGTCCGACTTGCTGTTGCGGCTTAGCGACATGGTCGAAACCACGCCTTGGATCTTTCCTCGGCCAACGGCGGTCATCACGTCCTGTCTTTGGACATGTTGCGGTGCTTGGGACACTACACTCATGAGCGTAGTGTTCAACCTTCTGACAGCGATAGCATCTTGCCGTTTGCTTGTGACTCAGAGAGCGCGAGTTCTCGCTCTCGATGTAACAGAGGTCCATTGGTTCGGGACCTTCTGGTTCCTGTCGTCTCGTCGGACGATAGTTTGAGGAGTTAGTCTGAGACTGTCTCAGACTGAAGTCTTCTTGTTCCGCGTATGATATCGCCTTTTCCAGCGTATGGAAGTCCTCTTGGAACATGTGGGTCTTCACCGGTCCATACACAAGGCCGTAAATGAACACGTTAAATGAGCGTGTGCTCATCAACAGGGTTCTCCGTAACGCGACTTGCAAGGTAGCGCAGGTGCTGTGCGTAAGCATGCACGTCACGCTTGCCTTGCTTTAACCTCAGGAGTGCAGAGCGTGCTCTGAACTCGGCTCTTGGTGGCTCAAACGTCTCTTTAAGCCGAGACTTCAAGATCTCTGACGACTCAAACACGTTTGGGTCGTGAAGCTTGAGCTCTAAGGCCCAAGTATTTGCTCGTCCCGTAAAATTTGACAGGGCGAAGGTGACTTGCATCTCGTCACCCTCGATGTGACGGGACCCTGATGGCATCGTCTAACTCGACGAACCATATCAAAAGGGAATCTTCATCGGTTCCCTTGTACTGTAATATATCTATCTACAGGGTTTCGGGTCGACGCATGTGCGTCGGCCCGCCCATCGATAGATGAGAGCCTTGCTGCTGTAGCAAGGCTATTTTCTGTCGTTCGACGGCAAGTACCCTTGTAGAAACTTGTTGGTAGCAGCATGTTGCTGGTCTCTGCTGAGAGACTCCAACATACCACTGATGGCGGTTTCGCCCATGAGAACACTCGTGCGGCTGACTACCTCCCATTCTGAGTCACTCAGATGGGAGTAGCCTTCACGTGGGACGTGGAATCTGTCGTCTTCTACGTCCAACATGTTCATGTTTGGCGGACACTAGGCAGTCGTTGGATGGACTACAAAGTGCTACCATGTGTAGCGAGGCACACTTTGTTTGGGGTGCCGCAAAACTTTACGTACACTAGTACGTGCAGAGGAAGATAAATCACTCAAACTACTAGTTTGAGCAAAAGGTAAAAAGAGATTTTTTTAGTATAGTTAAGCTATTAATATAACTTTAGTCTTTATTTAACTATTTTAATCTACGTTGTCGTAGGACGACAACCTGTTCACCACTCATTGCGCGCGTCTAGCAGCGATTGGTGGCAACCTTGGTTGACAGTCTTTTAACAAGTAATCTTTGAGCAGCGCACGAATATTATTCGAAAAGGGGATTATATTCCTTAAATATTGTCTATCTCGGATAATATCGATAGGATATTGTCACGCTAGACAATCTCCCTAATGACACCGTTTGGTGTCAAGATCATGTAACGGGCTACCCCGTTACAACGTTGTCCAGTGATTGACCCAGCCAGGACAAGATTCACAATGTAAGGATGGACACCATTGTTAAACGTTTTGCTACGAGGAAACTGAGCTGATGATAATGACGTGTCAAGTAGACGTCCGCGTTCGTATTAGTTTGCTCTTGTCACTTAGATTCGAGGCAAATGGCAACCAAAACGGGTGTGCTACTACAACAACAATTGTTAAACACGAATAGTACGCGATACTGAGAAGTCGCAACAGTAGCAATCGGATAGCTGGATGTCCTGTCAACCCAAATGCAAACCGATGACTCTGATGGTATTTCGATTCAATGGGAAGCTGACAATGGAGTCAAATTAGTATGACCACTCGCACGGAAGTAAATATCTGAACAAGTTTGTGTACTGAGCCGGGTTGTGTGGCCACGTCTGGAAAGCCATGTATCATTAATCCTCAAGCTTCACTGAGTAGCATCATGACAGCTTCGATGTCCTCCTTGATCTATCGCGTCTTCCCTTTTTCCACAGTGTCCTCACGAGACCGCGTCGAAACCATTTTACGTACGATCATGTAAAACCAAATGTACTGCAGTACGAAAAATGGCGAGCAGCCGAAGACGTAGAGCATCTGGCAATTGCGTGCGACCCTGGGGAGGATGTAGACTGTATTGAACACCACCCGGAACAAGAAGAAGGAGGTGACGAACAAGACACCGGCCACGGGGCTATCGGTAAGTCGAAACCAGTTGTAAAAGCCCGTACTCAACTCATTCGTTTGCATCCAGACGTAAGCGTTCCCAAAGGATGCGTCACATACTGTGGCTTCGTTGACAAAGAGCTTGACGCCCCAGTACAGCCCAAAGACGTGGTGGGCGTAGTCCATTAGCCGTGCGAGTCGGAGGGAGAGCAGGTTCGTCAGTCCGTCTGCGTAAATCATAGCCACGAGATCAACGAGGAAGAAAGACAGCGAGACTGCTACTGAGATTGTCGTGTCTAGTCCGTAGTACAAAGTTATCACTGACGAGGTCGTTGACACGACGCCGTGCGTCGCGTTCAATGAGATGATGTGATTGCGTCTCGTAGCGCCTGCAGGGACGATGTTCAGGACGAGTGTCCATAGCAAGGCCCAACATGCAACAGCCACGATCAAAGTCGGCAGACGCGATTCCGATACTTCCATATTACTCGAAGTTGTCCCACCTGACATTGACTGGCTGGCTATCGATGAGATATCTGCACGAGCGGCAGAGCGATCGAGTTAAAAATTGTACGACGACGTGGATCCAACGCAACGCTCTCCTTCTCTCTCTGTATATTGTTTGCGCAAGCTCGTCCGTAAGAACACGGATATCCTGTGTTGTACAATCTCGCGTAACCGAACCTGTACCGATGTTGCACAAGCAGTACGCCCGACGACCGCTGGCCTTGTACCAGTGCTCTCCAGGCTGTACTGGATCGAATAAGGATACGAAATCGCGTGTAGCGCGTATTAGCAACAGCTCAATACTTCTGTCGCATGTACGTCCCTACGACACAGCGACTCAAGTCTACGCCCACTTGCCAATAAGTGCCATTAAGCCGGCACCCAGCCATAGACAAGTGTACAATGTGAAACGCTGTAGCGCCGACCGAGACAGGAACTTACTGTTCGTGGTCATGTTGTACGTCATGAGCTCCACTAGACCCGTGTAGAGCAAAATGCCACCAGCGACACAGTCAAGAGTGCCCTGCACCCACAAAGCGGTCGCCGAGGTTTCCGAGTACGTGCTGTGGATAGCAATGCCAATCACTTGACCGATAGGAGTCGTGACAGCGAACGCAAAGTTCAGCACAAATAGTTTCGTCTTGCTCTCGAGCGAGCTCAGAGCAGAGGCACCGATAGCGATCCCCTCGAAAAACTGGTGAAAGCACAGCGCTGCAAGCAACGTCTCAAACTCGGATCCTGTCGTGACGCCGAGGTCAACTCCGATGATCACAGAGTGGAAGAGGACACCGGCCTCGAAGATGATTGTGGCGACTTTGCGACGAGTAGTCGAGGCGGGTGCACTGTGAGGCTTGACGTGGTACAGATTCTCATCAGGGGTGTAATTAAGCCCGTCCGGAGTCGCGAACACCTCCTGAGCAACGGGTTCTCCATGGGCATGATGGTCTTGCCCGTGCCCGTGGAGCATCGAGCCTTGAGCACCAAAGAACACCGAGCTCTCGCACTCGATGAAATGCATGAGCACGAGCGTGATCAGCACGAACGCCAGACCGAGACTTCCGTAGTCTTCTACAATGGAACCGAGGCACTCGTTGCTCAACTTCTCGATCCCTTCGTTGACCATGTGGATAAGACCTGTAGCAAGGACCACACCGTAGGCAAAGGCACTGATCGCTTCCATGATGACCGAGTTGGTGTTGCAATACGAGACCTTTTGCGAGATGATGGGGACCATCGTGCCTGCTGCAGAGACTGCAAAGATAATGAAGATAGCGCCGACGTGCAGTCCCGTGTCGTACTCGTTGTCCGGGTCGAGCGAGACGCAGCCACAACAACTTTCTTCCGCCATGACTCCAAGCTAAACGAGACGATGGCAGGTTCGATGAGGTTCTCACCGCACAAATAAAAATGGGAAATGGCTTGGCAGCTCATGCTTGTAACCATTCCGAGTCGACGATCGCACGTGTACGTGTCTCATTTGTTTCCACCTCCAAGTCATTTGCCGACGGCGCTTTCAATCCAGATGGACGGCAGAAGTGCAGCTATCGACATGGAAGCTACTTTCCAGGTCAGAAAACGACCCTTTAAAGTGCAGAACATAGGTCACGAGAGTGGGGAGTGCAGAGTTTAGCGTGACGGGAATGAGTCTATTCACCCGTTTCTGTCATCACATGCGTGAACGATTCTCTCCAAAAAAGGACCCGCCGCCGTCAAACGAGCTACTGCGAGGAATGACAAAATGTGATGGCATCGGACCTCCGTCTAAATACTGTCTGCGAACGGCATTAACAACGGCAATCTGGAAAGTCTGCTACGCAACTACAAGATACCCGACAGCTCCACACGAACAAGCGAGTCGCGATGTATCGAGTCTTGTACGCAGACCGATTGTGGTCAATAACTGCACGATCGCCATTTGTAGTTCGTATCGAACGGAATCTTGGAGATGTAGTGAACAAATCAAACTTGGTCGTAAGTGCTTCTTGTCGCACGGGCTTCCTTCGCTAAGGGCTCAAATCAGCAATTGGATGCACCATCACTTGCAGCATCGAAGCAGTGAACTCCTGATCTACTTGCAGAGCATCAGGAGCGCGTGAAACCATGCGACGAATGCCACCCGCCAGTTGCATACATTTTACACGTGGTCTGCTAAATAGATCCCACAAGACTAAAGACCAGCTTCTGCTCGCCTCTGTTGTGAGTCCTTGGCTGTTGGACCGAAATGGATTGGCAGTTGATCGGCCCCGGAAGCGCATCGATGTAAACTAGCAGCAGCAACCACAGTAGTATAGTCAAATGCTAGTTGCCAATCAGCAATGAACAGATCATCAGTAGTACGTTGCCGTCGCCGCCGTCGGAGCAGCAAGTTTCGCTACCGGCTCAATTAGGGTCGAGGGGAGATTCCCTCCATCATTCGAAGCGTGTCGTAGTCTCAAGATGCGATGCAAAGGGCCACATCTGACACGGCAGCAAAGTGGAGCGAGAAATACGTTACAAATGTATCTACTCAAGCTATTGCGCGACATCGAAAATGCTGTAAAAGTGTAGCGCACACTCGCAATACCGCACGCGTTGGACACCTATCCAAAGCCTGACAGACTACAAGGGTGCAAAATGCTCACATGAGCGGGAACCGATACATTGCGTGACTCAACTATTAGAATGGGAAGTGGGTGGCGAACAATTTCTGCTGTAAATGAAAGTAGAGCTGTGACAGATACATCCACGGGTGAGATCACTCACTAATTCAAGGTCGATTCGCCCGCGATTGATTGCCCACGCATATGCAAGGCAGGGATTCTTGAAGAAATGGCAGTGCAAGAGCAGACATAAACCGTGTACATCTACCATCTATAGACGCCGCTACGTCTCACGAGCCTAGCGTCGCGGCAGACACCGGTGTTTGATACATTTCATTCGAATGTTGATGGAGCGCTCCGCAGTTCTGTAATCGTAGCGGCCACTAAGGGAGGCAGCTTGATAGACAGCTGCGTCTCTTCTTAAAGTCTTGTTACTTTTACCTCACCCTCATGACACATGTGGAGCATGTTGCCGTTCTTGACATCCGCTTGATCCTCACGCGTGTTGTTCTCGATACTCACATCTTCGGTACCGATGGATTGACCCTATTCAAAGTTGTTTAATCGATGATTCGACGACCTTGGTGGACTGCTGATAGTGAGTCCGGAGACTGCAGTGTCAGTGACTGTGCGCAAAGTGGATATCGAGCTTTCAAAACCTGTTTTTCAGTTTGTATTTATACGTGTGTGTGCGTGTCTGTACGCAAAGCTAGGTGTACCTGACACATTATACCGATGCGATGCAGCATGTCCATCTTTATAGCAAATATTTATGCATTATACATGTAAGCGTAACTCTTGGACGAGGCCACATAGAGAGTGCAGTAAGTCATGATTGGCTTTAAGGTGACGAAGGGCGAACAGAGAAAGTAAATGCTCGACACTTAATGGCAGCGAATATCAGCTCTTCCAGCACACGGTAACTGTGAAGCGGTTTTTATCCGTAGTTCTTGATGGATTGAAGATCAAGAAACTAATGTCACATTCCTCTCTCACCGCCATACAAACGTCCATCAAATTGGTGTCTCTTTAGTTGATCAATTATATGGCGTCGGCTGCACTTTGTTGCTGACAGCGTAAGCAGACACGATTGTCTTCCGTCTTCCAGTTCTTACGTGCGTCTCAAGAATCATCAACAAATATCAACGAGTAGCGTTAACACATAGCAATCCATCGACACTTTCATAAATTACCACACACACAGCACAACCCATTCCTAGCCGCCAAACACCCAAAATGGGAACGGGGGTAATGCAGAACTTGATCCAGTTCTCTCGGCTGAATGATTCACATCAAAAGGTAGGCTCCAGCACTTTCTCCCCTACCTTTTTCGGCGCTTAAGCAGTTGTTGCTAGCGTTTTCTTGTTTTGTAAAAAGTTGCTACAAATGGTTCACCGCTATAGAAACCACGTTTTACCCGAACAACAACACTCCGTTCGGTACAAGCTTCGTATGTCAACGCAGACATCTTCTGCCCGTAAACAATCTGAACACAATGAGGGACTCATTAGTAATTCTGGGTATCACATTGCTGACGTTACTACTTCGTCGGCACTGCAACCGTGTCCGGCCTCACAATGCATCACAGTAGACGTCTAGTTGGTAGAGCGAGTCGTAAGCAGCTCGCCAACAACCCCACGAACCCATGGCTGCGTGAACTGCTGAGGATGGGGGATATTGAACTCATCCAGTTGCGTCTCGGCAGTCAAAATCTGTACGTTATCAGTCAGGACCGTTAGACCTCATACAACTGCTAAACAAAACGAACTTGCCACAAACCTCCTCGTCAGCCAGCTGGGACTTTTCCACATCTGCCATGAACCCGCACGGATCTTGAGCGAACTGAGTCATCCATTCCTTCTTCCGCGCGTACATTTGCAAACGCTCCAAGATATCTAACTCTTGTTCCTTCAGCAGCGCAAGTTCCTTGCTCTGGTCTTGTGTCAGATCCTCACATTCTTTAAGAGCACGGACCCGAGTCCGGTCTAATTCGGACGTTGCTGCAACAGACACGTCAAAGAACTGCTCTTCGAGCAACTCGGATTCGCATGCCGCCGAGAGGATCAGTGTGTACTCGAGGTCGATAGCGTCAACGGGTGCTAGATGCTGCTTGAGCGCCACTATAATCGACGTGAATGGCAGCGACACACAGTTCAGCACTTGTGCCAACCTGTCATCACACGCAACCATCCGACAGTCGTCCTCTTTGATCAGATTACGCAGCTTTATATATTGCCACATTGCGAGCACGATATCCTGCTTCGTGTATGCCTTGGCCGGACCGACATACTGGCCAATGACTGCTTTCAACACAGGCGAGATAGTGAACCGCTCGAGAGTATGTGCTGGCAGTAGCTTGATCTTCACTGTATGCGCCGTACTTCCGGTCCTTGTTACTTCAAGTCCGTCGACATCATGACTAGTCTTCTGAAAACTCGTCCACTGCACATCAACAGCTCTAGTTAAAGAAGTAGTCAACATTACAACAAGAGCGTAAGAACGCACTTCAATCACGTGGTCCGAGTAAAGATGTGGATCGAGTTCAATGGAAGCTTTTCGAAAGTAGCTCGAGAATTTCTGCAGCATAAAACACACCCACAAAGATACTGGTAAGCTGTCACAGGGCCCACTATCTCACACCCTATTGATCCACCCACCACAATTGTAGGACGTCCAGCTGCAGCGTCGACTCCTTCAACTTTGAGCGTCCACTTTCCTGGTGTCGCCACTGTGTCTGCAGTGGCTTGAGTAGGTGGAACGTATGTGTGATACACCCGCACGCACAGCTGTTTGGTCTCGCTCTAGTTTGCACCAAAATAACCACGACGATGACACATGGTGAAAATCACATTAGGGGCCTCTATTGCAAACAGATCAGATAGGGCACCTGTGAGGGATAGTAGCGCTCTCCCCGTAAGTCGCGCGTCATGGACTGCAGTCGCGAAGCGAGTTGTTGGTGCGCCGCCAAAGTCCTCGTGAGCAAGTCGATCTTACTTTGACACGGCCATTCGCCCTGCAGAAGTTCCTGTTGTATGTGGATAGAGAGTGGGTGAGATATGGGCGGATATACATGGCCCACGTGATAGTCACGAGACTTTGGAACACGCACCACGGGAAGCTCGCTGTTCATTGCTGAGTCTAGAATGAGCGTTTTTAATTTGTTACATTTGAAGGAATTTTGAAAGATTCGCTTAATTATGAAAGCACAAATACTGGAGACGACAAGCTCGGCTATCGACTAGAGTAGTGTGGACCACGCTATCGAAATGGCAGGGTAGTTGTGTCGAATTTTATGGTATGCGTGTATTTATTTTCTCTTGATTTTTATGGGATTTGCTGTTTCTCCACACTTCTTATCTTGTGACTGATCCTCGTCAGCCCCTATAAACCGATACAATTTTCTGAATCTCTTTCAGGGGGATACCATCCCGTGTGTCGAAGACACAGGATACCGAGTACCCTACGATGTGCAACCCCTTTGCAAAGTGGGAATAGCATACGATGGTAGGTGACAACATTGACGACATTATTGGTGAAGTTAGTGAGATTGTCAGTGGTATATCGTCGAATGCCGGCAAATTATTGGTAACGAATGCTGTCAAATTATTGGTAACGAATGCTGTCAAATTGTTGGTAACACGGTCGTAAGCAGCGGATGTTTTGTGATGCATTGGTGAGCTGGTAATTGCCGGTAGTCAATAGTCTGGTAATCGATCACTATCTCGTTGCATTGCCGTCAACGCTGAGCTTACGCAATTAATTTGCCCTCGTTGTTCGAGGAGTCTCGCTCGGGGCTAGAATGCGAGTTACATGCATGCTATCAGTGCTGGCTACAAGAGCAATCACTGTCGACACAGACGACAATCTTAGTTGCTCCATCGATGAGTTCAGTCTTCTGACTGATACCCATCTGGCTCGTTCCTCTCCCGTTCTCTCCACCCGAAGAACATATGAGAGATTTATGCCGCGCGGTCCTTCAGATCACCCTGGGGTGAACTGCGAGTACTCTGACTCAGTTTGAACTCCTTCCAGGACCCGCACCCCTCATTACACTATGGGGCTTTTCGGCTTGTAGGGCCTCCGGACGGCACCGGCCACTCATTGGTGGTTGCTCGTCTACATTATTAGCCTATCTCCGGCGCCCTGTAATCGAACCCCCACCGGGTATCGATCCAGGTACTCCCAGTCCCAGTTCCAGGGGTCCACCACTCGGCCACTGGGGTTGGTCCCAAGAACATATGAGAGCAGATGCAATTGCGGCTGTTGGCGATGCTGTGGATGTCGTGGTAAAACCCTTGAAGATTTAAAGTCGCGTGTGATGTATCTCCCCGACAAATTGACGTGCGAAGAAAGACTTTACGAGCCATCCGTCCTCGTTACTGTAGACTAGTGGCAGCTACTATTCTCGCAAGGAATCACATGTCGTGATTCAGAGAACGCACAAGCAAATCATCGATTTCATGGGCATTCTTCCTGAAAGTACCTGCTTTCATCATTGTGGGTCAAATGCACGAACACTATAAATTATCCGGTTGTTCATCCAGCTGAAGCTGCCACGATCAACGAGATGGTCACTCGCCGTCCGGGTTTCACTTTTGGATGTCTGTTCAGCAACGACTGTACGCATTCTCTACTTTGTCCACTACCAACGCGATCTATGTGTAAGCGATGGTGTGACGTTTTCTTGACTTGATACGCAGCATTCGTCAGCCACGTCTGCACAATGTCTGACGGGTGACCAAAGTCCCAACGTGATTTTCCAAGGTGGACTATACGACTGTAAGTGCTAGAAATGCTCTGCAAGGTAGACAATTCCTAGCAAGAGTGTCGTGCCGTTCGTCCAGGTTTGAATAGGAAAAGAAGATAACCGTGCTCTGAGTATTACCGGCGATCTACTAAAGAAGACTAGAGGAGTCAGCAGTCGCGACAGGGAAAGTATGTACCCTCTCGACGTAATCGATTTGAGACCTTTACAGCCAAGAAGGAGTCAGACGTAGCGTTCAGTCCGGCTCTTTTCTTTCACGCTTTCTTCCGACGTCTCGACATCCCGTGCGACTCGACTTGACCACATACAAACCTCCAGTCAACCCTCCAATCGCACCAACGAACAGCCACACACTCGAGCAATTGGAACGTCTCGGGGCGTAACCTCATCCCTTGTCTCTCGATTGTACCTCATGGACGAACGACGACGCGGAGGAGGAGGAGGAAGCCACGCCATCGCCGGCATGGCGAACGTCGGCAGTCTCGGGAACGTCGCCAAGGTCTTGCTGCTGCTCCTGAACATGGCGTTCATGGTCGCCGGTTGTCTCCTCGTGTACTTCAGCCATCGCGTGACGACTTCTGGTTGGCTGGACGCGTTCAGGGGCGACTACGCGTGGATCGGCACGTCCACGCTCGTGTTCATGCTCGTGCTCGGTGCGGTGGTCATTGCGCTCTCTTCGCTCGGGTGTTTCGGGGCTTTGCTGCAGCAGAAGCTCTTGCTCACGATCTACGCGCTCGTGCTCGTGCTCACGCTCGTGCTCGTTGGGGTCGTGGCCGTGGGCGGGTTTCTCGCCAACTCGAAAGCGGCGGACTGGAAGGCTCGGGCGTACCCGGTCCCCCAAGAAGCGTCTCTCGGAGCCAATTTTAACCGACTGTACTGCTCGGCCCAGGTCCCGCACTACTGCCAAGACGCGGCCGTGCATACGGTGCTCGAGATGTTCAACGTGTCGCTCACGGACCACTTTCTCGACTCGACGACCAACTTTACCAACGTCTGCTCCGCCGTGACGCTCGCGGCAATCAGCGACGTCTGTGACGTGTGTCACTTGGCTGCACAGTACAGGAAGTACGCGATGGTGCGGGACTGGTCCGAGACATCGTGTCCTCGAACAAGCACGAACCAGGCCTGGTGTGGCGGCTTCCTGCTTAGTGCTACTGCCGCCGATGATATGGTGGCCAATGCGCCGTTCATGGAGTGCCGCAGCGCCTTTTATGAGCTCGTGGCGAAATGGACTCACGTTGTGCTGGTTGCGAGCATCATTTGCATCATTGCAGCCATGGCTGTGCTTGCAATGACGGGGGTGCTCTGGCGGAATGTGCACGTTGCTCGACGGGAGAAGGCGAGGCGGCCAGCGCCACCAGCAGCTACAATGTATCACTATGGGGATCCGAACGTGGGCTATTCCCAACGCAGCGATGCAACGAACAACGGTGCATTTAGCATGTACTCTACAGCACCTCGGAGCTTGAATGCTGCAGCGCATCGTCGATACGATAGCCCGTTTTAGAAGCACCCGCGCGTACGTACGTGATGAGATTGATATGTACTTGCTGACTTGTGTCATGTCATGACTGCTTTATTATCGTAATGCATCTATCTATGGTCTGCTGGACGTGCAAGCACGCACGCGCTGTTACTTCTTGAACATCAGTGGCAACGCGCTGGTACTGCGCTGCTCGTCAAGTTCGAGGCACTTTTGGAAGAAAAGCGAGGCAGTCGTCTTGCAGTACTGCTCGTCCAGGTTCGCCAACGGATCACGCACGAAAAACTGACGCGCACGACGCTGACGGCTTTTCTTGCGCGAGTCGTTCTTGTTGTTTTCACTAGCAATCTTCTTGTGCAGTGGGTTGCTAGGCGGCACAGGCACCTTTGGCTTGAACGCAAACGTCGCACCAGCATACGGATCGAAGGCATCCATGAGCGCTCGGGCATGCTCGTTCGGTAGAGTTGGAGCCATCTGGGCAGTCCCGAGCGCGTATGTAGACAGCTTCGGGTGGACGTGACGTGCAAGCAGTGCCAATTCCCAGCACGCACTCGAGAACGGGTTCGCAAAGTCAGGGTCGCCAATGTCAGCACGGTACTCACCCGATGCAACACGATCCGTGTCCGACTCTAAGAGCTGCTGCAACTTGGCGTAGCGGTGGAAAAGCGCTCGAAGCAGAGACAACGTGGCCAATGCTTGGTGTGGAGGGAGGTGCTGGGTCACCAACAATAGTCTTTTCACAAATGACGCCACGCGCTCCACGACAATCTCTTTTCGGCGTAAGAACACTGCCTCCACACACTGCAGCAGAGTCGGGAAGCAGGATGAGTCTGAGACCGCCTCGCCATCGGCGAAGCGATACAACAGACGATAAAGGATGTCCACGAACTCCTTCTCGTCGATCATTAGTTCCTGTCCACCAGGACCTTGCAGTGCACGCACTCCCGTTAGCACCGCCTGTAGTGCCGCAGGAAGTGGCAGCACGTCCTCTTCGCGCAGCAGAACCTTGAGCACCTTAAGCAGGTCGATCATGATGTCAAGATTGATCAGGAACGCGTACTTAGCAAGTCCCTCCAGCACGGCAGGAAGTGCCTGCGAGTAGGTAGCTTGCTTCAAAATGCGAAAGTAAATGAGCACAAGCTCGTGTAGAATGTCAGCCTGCGTCTTTTCGCGCTCGGCTCGGTCCACTACAGCTTCAGCTTCTTTGAGACCAGCGGCAACAGTGTCTCCATCTGCCTGCTGACGACGACGTTTCTTGCGGTCGGACTTTGCTTTCTTGCGCGCTGCTTCGCCCTGCTCCATGGTGACTTCAAGTGGCATAACCAGCAGCGTCCGAATGATGTACGGCTGCACACGGTGCTGCTTCTGCTTCACATAGCTCGATATCTGCTGGACAATCTCATAAGAGCACGCACACGTTTTATCACTCTTGAAGACACATTCGAAAGACGCGCAAGCCTGCTCGCGGATGTTTTTGAACTGCGAGTCGGCCATTGGTACCAGTGCGATCACGAGGTTGAGGTGGAAGTTGAAGGCGTACTTCTTCTCCAGTAATTGTGCTAAACAACGGGCACCAGTCTCAGCGAGCAACACGTTACGCCGATCGCGCACTGTCATGGTGGCAAGCTGCTCTGGGTGTTTACCCTTCAGCCCTTTCACAACCAACCCAGCGCAGTGCTTAAGAAACTGTTGGTAGTTGCTGAGCAGGGCAGCCTCATAATCTTGCATCTGTTGCACCTTTTTCTTCATAGGACGTCCGTGGTTCTGCTTGCCCTTGTCCTCGGTACCAGCATCACTCTTCTGAAGACGAATCCTGTAGTCTGGTAAGATATCCAGAAACACCGACAACTGTGACATCAAGCTAAGACGCTGCACCGTCACATCTGGATCATGGCACAGCGATTGTAGCTGCTGGATCTTGCTAAACTGCTGTGGATGATCCTTGTTCTTCTTAAACGACTCCTCCGGGTTCTCCAAAATGCTTTCACAGAGCTGCGCAATTTCCACTTTCTTCGTCACCAGGCGGATCCCACGTTGGCGCTTCAGATCCACCGCCGACAGTGGCGTGTCTCTAGGTGCTGCAGCGGAAGCGTCCGTAATCTCTTCAAATTCCATATCCGACACGTCCGAGTCCATCTCGTTCTTCACACTCACGTCTTCCTCTTCTTCCTCCTCCTCCTCCTCCTCCTCCACTTCAATCGGATCCGCTGCAGCCTCAACCTCCATCTCTTTCTCCACCATCAGTTTGTTGGCACGCACGCTGCCATCCATAAACTTGACCGGCAGCTTGTCCTTCAGTACCTCCTGCTTGTCCGTCGTCCACGCAGCTTTGCGTGGATGAGCCTCGAGCTTTTCCAACGGCACGTCTTCTCCCTTGGACTCACTGCTCTTCTCCTCTCCTCCTTTTGCTGCTGGTGTCTTGACAGACTTGACCTTCTTGTCACCTTTCGTCAGCACTGGCTTGCTCAGCCCTTTCGTGTCCATATTAGCCAGGAAAGTCGTAAATTCCGTGTTATTCTCATAGAAAGCCACGTCTTCCTCGTCAATCTCCACGTCTTCCTCCTGCAGCTGCGACGTGGGCTGGCGAGCGACTGGCTGCGGCTTCTTCGAGCCGTTCTTCGTCTTGCTCTTGGGTCCAGCAGAGAAGCTCTTGCGCTCAGCTTGGGCCTTGTTCTTTGTCTTGCTTTGCTTCTTCTTCTTGCTGCCGCCAGCGCCCCCAGGGGCGGCCTTGCGCTTCTTGCCTTTGCCTGCAGCCGCCATGTCCAAGTGACGTGTGTGCGGGCCAATCAAACGTGGACAGAAAAACAGGCCACTTGAAAGTACCCGAAATTAGTGTGGCGCACGCTGTTCGATGAGACGCAGAGATACTCACTCACTATACGTGTATGCACGCGTGTATACAAATGGAGTCGAATCAGACATGCGTGACAGACGGACGGACGGACGGACCGACTTGACTACCAGAAGGGACACCACCCGTAATAGAGTTGACACAAGTTCTCGTGCGACGTGGCTTGATGGATCAACCGATCCACTTGTGCATCCACCGTCAGCACCTTGCTGCCATCGTCAAAGTCACGACCAGCAAGTTTCTTCTTAACGCGCTCGATGACGCTCAACGCCTTCTCGTTCAATTGCGGATGGGCAGCGGCCACGAACGACGTGCCAAAGTTGTCCCGCTGTCCTTCTGCGATCGAAGCGCGCGCCATTGCGGAGTCGAGCATGTCCATGTTGAATCCCAGCATTGCAGCTTCCGATGAAGAGTGACGTCGTCTCCTCGAAGTCACGGGGGTCAATGACGTCGAGCTCTTCACACTGTTTCCCGTCAGCTTGTCCTCGCCCAAACTCTCATCATTCGCAGCATCGTCATCTCCTTCCCCATCGCCATCGTCGTCGCCGTCCTGTCCACTTTCACGCCTGACACGAATGGAATCCTCCCTAGTGCTGACATCCGAGCCGTCTCCAGTGCCTCCTCCACGCTCGGCACCACCCGCGCCGTCATCTTCCGGTTGTGCGTGAGACGGCACCGTGTCCTTCTTGAGCAACCGCCAATTGATGAGAGGGTCGTACACGAAAGCCTCCAGCACTGCCATGAGCGAGTCGCGATTATCGCGAAGAACGCGCATCGATGCTTCACACGTGTAACGAAAGTTGCCTTCGATGCCGCTAACCTCCATAGCTTGTGTAAGCATGCGCGTGAGTCGGAACGGAATTTTCTCCGGGTACTTGTCGCGCTCCATCGCTACTTCGAAGCAGTCACCAAAGTCGATGTGAACGAGTTTGCCGGACACACGGTCCAGCATAAGATTGCTCGGGTGCCGATCACCAAGACCGAGAATGTAACCGGCCATCGACATGACAGCGAGCGAGCGCGTAAAGTTGCGGCGGCGGTCGAGCCACACCTCTGAGTCCTGGCTCTTCAGCCACAAGACGCGGTAGAGATCTTGACCGGTCGTCTCACCTAGTGCGTATTTAAATGCCTCGACCTTCTGCATGAGTGGCAATTTGTCGTAGTCAGGGGCCATCTGCACCATCAGCCGGTGTTCAACGTTCAGCTGGATCTTACGCGCCTCACGGTAGTCGCGGATAAGCTGGTGCAAGGTATCACAGTTGGGTACCCATCCGATCAAGCCGCTCGTGTGAGACAATGGAAGCACCGAGTAACGCTGGATGGCCAAGTTGCGTTTGCTGGTGTCGCTGTCGTTGGCTAGCAGGGTATTGATTACGCCAAAAAGCTGCATCACTCGCTCATCTTGGCGCAGGTCCTCGTGGCCTTTAAGCAGGAACGGATAAGCTTTCCCGTCACTTCCGTTGATAGACACCTTCCTCGGCCGCTGCTTCGACGTGAGCACTGTGACTTTTGTATCAAAGGACTGGATGCGGACAATTGGGGCGCCAGCCTTGTACGTGCCCGGTACTGCAAGTGTCAGATTGCGCACTGAAAGCAACTTCGGTCCGACGTTGGCCAATTCCAGCGCTGAGAGATTCGCGAGCTGCTTGCGAATCTTAGAGAAGACGCTGTAGTAGATATCCCATGCCTGATTCAAATCGTCCAGGCTCTTTGTGCGCTCATAAACGTTGGTCCACTCCTTTGCGTATTTCAGGTCTCGCGCAAACGCTTGGTAGAACGCTACTTCGCGTAGTGTGGGTGTCTCTTCCGTGCCAATTTGATCCATCAGCTCGTGAAGTGGAGCCAGCTCAGCAATCATAGCAGTCACATCGCGGTTGTTGAAGAAATGCTTCGATGCTTCTTCGAGAGCACCATGCCACAACTCATTCCATAGGATGGCCACGCGAATAAGTTCGCGCGATACCATATCAGCCTCATACACGAGCTGAGAACTATGTCGACGCACAGCAGCAAGAATCCCCTCGGCTGCGAGCTTTCGAGTGGGGTTGAGAGCCTTAGAAGCCACTGTGATGGGGTAAATTAGAGCCTGAGGATGTGCTTGTCCAATTCGAGAGAGCAGATCATGAAGGAGCTCGCTCGTCTTCGGGTTCGGCGTGTCAATACGCGCAATAAGCTGTGGAATGACATCCAACCACGTATCAATAGATGCCTCGTGGAATCCTTCAACCATCGCTAGGTGGACATCGCTACGATTGCCTTGTGCAAACCAAAGTGTCAACAGACGCAAAACGTCTTTCGTCACATCATAGCTCGTGTGGCCGAAGGAAATCGACCGGAAGAAACCCTGGATGGCTCGAACAGCGTAACGCTTCGGATCTCCTTGGCCAGATTCTTTCATGGTAGCTTCAAGTGCCCGAAAGTTCATGAGGGCCCACTCGTGCCACGCGCGGTCATTGGTCGGGTCTAGCTTCGTTGCTGTCTCCAGACACTCGAGGACATGGTCAAACGCTCCATCAGCTTGTTTGTGTGGCTCCGACAGCGACATTTGCCACTCGCCCAGCTGAATATACACTTGTACACGTAGTCTACGCATATCTTCATTTGTTGGATCCCCGTGCTGCTCCAGTGCCTCGATGAAGTAATCCATTTGCTTCAAAGCCACGTCTTCGCGATTTTCTGCCCACAGGTGTCGCAAAAAGCTAAACGCCACGCGCGGGTCCTGCGCTGTGCTGTCCGCTAAACTCAGCAGTCCATTTGCAAAACCTTGGCTTGCTCCGACGTTGCCACCAAGGTTGATCGGGATCGGTGCGTAAGGGTCTCGTTCAACACTGCGAATGAACGGTTGTGCGCCAACGCGCCATAGAGCGCTAGCAGCAAGGTTGATGTGCCCCGACTTCAAGCACAAACGTGCATACTTTAGCCAAATATCGACGTCTTCCCTGGGATCAAATACGAGCGATCGCACCAGCATAAGGCTTTGCCACACTTCTATGCTGCGCTCCACTCCTAGCATTCGTCTGGTCCAAATCGTTTGCAGTTTCTTCAGTGCTACTTGTTTCTCATGTCCGTACGATGTTGAAGACGCCGAAGACACAAAGTTGAGACTACTGATGCTTTGTTTGCGATGCGATGCAGGTGTCGACACCGAAGATGATAGCACAGGCGCTGACAGAAGCGTAAGTTCACCGTTATTGTTGCAGGCGAATGTCTTCAAATAGGCGACTATCTCCTCCAACTCCGTCAGCATCTGCAAATTCACAACAGATGGAAGGTACGCTCGAGCATAGCTCTCGCTTACGAGGGAACGCAACGTTGGATCCATTTCCTTTCGGCAATCGGTAATAGAGCTCATAGCCTCGTCCAACTCCATACGCCTTATAGACACAACTGCCTTAAACAGATGAGACTCTGTAGCGTCCATGTCCGAGTTAATGTATTTCGGAATCGAGTCCCAGTTTTGCAGCGAGAAGGCTACCCGAGCGCCACTACTGCACAATTCCTTTTTCAAAGCTGGGGGCACATCCAGCAACGTTTCTCCGCCCGCGTGCTCACCGTTCAAGTCTTGGCTCTCACCATAAATTTTGGACCACGTCTCCTGCACGTGGTCATTCAGCTTACGCCACTCACCAATTGCCCACAGGCAACGCATCTTGCCGAAGATAGACTCCACATTATTCGGCTGTTCTTGGAGAACGCGATCGTGTGTCGCTAACGCATCGTCCCAGCGTAAAAGCTTCTCGTGCCACGAAGCCTTCACCTCAATACCCGCCAGCTTTTCAAGGGCATATTTCAGAATACCACGCGCGGCCTCTGGCTGATTAAGCTTCGAGTTAATGCTGATAAGTGCTTGGATCCCATCAGTACTTGGATTGGTGTTAAACTCAAGCTCTTTATAATGAAGAGCCTTGGCAAAAGAATGACACTTGTCAGCCAAAGACCCAAGCAGCCGAATATCAATCGGTAGAGGCTGGTCATCATGCTCCATGAACTCAGCAAGATTGAGCAGCGTTTGCAAGATTTCAGATGGCAAATGAGGCGACTGAAAGGCTGACTCCAGAGACCGAATCAAATTGTCCTGGGTCGAAGACGACAGATGAGGCCACACACTCACGAACGATGCATTGAACAGCTCTCGTGCCAAAGGCTGATACACTGAAGCCAGCTCTTTGCAAGCTCGTAGGACTGGTGAGGGTGACTCTCGAAGCAATTCCACCGAAAAAGCTAGAATCCACTCGTTCCAGTCTTCCTTCGTTGACCGCTGCGATGCCTCCCATGCCTTCATCAAGTTTTTTTGGTCGCATGGTAAGCTCTTGGTCTCGTCTTGGGCAGACAAGTTTGACTCCTTACGATCACCCGAAGCATCTGCACGTGATTTGAGCGGATCCGTTGCCCATGACGCTACAGGCAACGGCTGGTATTTCAAGATCTTCGACACAAGGAGATCATAGCGGTCAAAAATATCGTTTGAACGCGATGTGTTGCGACCCAAGACCTGACTAATAATTGGAACAAAGATCGCGTAGTCGTCACCCATCGTGTACACCATGCAGCAAAGGCAATCCATTGCCAGATACACCATCTCCGGTTGAGACGAGATCACACGTGCTAGCATGTGGATAATTTTTGATGCATACACGCTTACGTTAAGCTTCTTCACGAGCGATCCGAGTGAGCCCAAACCTTGCTTCCTCGCATTCACATCCGCATCACTCTGGATGAGCGCCACGAGTGCAGGAATAATTAAGTGCAGATATCCATCCAGCAAGCGCCCAAGAGACACAGCTGTTTTTAGTACCAACAGTGTTCGTGGCCGGGCGGAATTGTCACGCTCTGTCCGAATCACGCGCAACATTTGAGGGACGAGATCCGGCAAGTAAACACGAAATTTCTCGCCCAGTGAGTTTGCTAGATTCTTGACCAAGTTGAGAACCTCTTCGAGATGTTCGTCCCAATAGCTATTGACGATCGAAAGCAACGCTACGTGGTCCAAGTGAGGCTGAATCTGCTCTTCGACAATCCGTACCAGGTCGCAGAGCTGCTCGAAAAGAAATTTGCGCAGAGAACGGTTCACTTTCTCCAAAGTGTAAAGAAAGGCTGGAATGATCTTGTCCAAGTGCTGTCCCACACGCTTGCGTTGGCTTTTGCAAATGTACATGATAGCCATGAAGGTGCCCTGGTAGTGCACCGAATTACGTGGTTCGAGGAGAATGCGAATCAATGCGTTGATCGCTACTGAAGGGAAGTACTGGAACGATTCCGAGATCATCGAGGGCAGCAAATCGTTCGGTGGAATCTCCAAAATGATATTGGTCAGCTTTCCACTGGTCTGTTTGTCATTCTTTGCCACCTTCCGTGTCGGCGCGAGTAGAAGAGATTCCTCGAGATGAAGAGCAGCTTCCTCGGCACCATCATCTAGCAACCCAAGTCCGCCAATTCGTTTGCCAATACGAATGCCAGTAAGTGTCTCCTTTGACCCGGCACCGAATCCGTTACTTGTCAGCGTTTCTGACGGATCTGCTCCATTAGCCATCAGACTGAACACCCCACCCGCGCCAACAGCAAATGCGCTAGAGCGAAACTCTTTCTTCTTTGCATCCGTGAGCTTGCCTTGCATTTGTAAGTGGAACAAACGAAGATTGTACGGATCCAGCGCACCCAAGATACCGATTGTACGCCCCGCTTCAATCCGTAAAGATTCAAAAGCATCACCCGACTTTTGCAAAGCTTGACACAGCAAGTCTAACAACTCTGGGTACTCATGATAAGGTAGTACCACATAGCCAGTCGATGACACTAACTGGCCCAAAGTTTTAATAGCGACCTGCAATATTTGTGGATTGCTCGAGTCCCGCATTTCGTCAATAACATCCGGCAATAGCTGCCCGAGGTAAGGCGTCAGTTCTTGCGCACCAACTTCCGCCAAGTCACCCAAGGTTGCCAATATAGCTTTGCTCACACTGACTGTGCTTCGATTGTGGCTACGGCGTTCTGAGTCTTCACGTAAATTCTTCATCAACACGCGGAGAATAGGAAGAACATACGGCTGTGCTAGCTGTGACGCTGACCGCAACAAGCAACCGATCAATAGTGCGCCCTCTTCCTTGCCTCGGGAATCTCCACTAAATTCCAACTCGGCCAATAGCTGCACCAACGTTTGACGGAGAGATGGTAGCACAGTGGACGGATTGTGGTGCGTCAGTCTTCCAAGAGTACTCATAGCAGTTTGGCGGATGCTGAACACCTCATCGTTCAGCGCAATAAAAAGGCACCGCAAGTTGTCGTTTAGGGCCAACAACGGGTCAAAACGTGAATCCAACGATGCCAAAACACGCAGACGAATACTTGCTTCAGTGTCAGCGATGCCTACTGTTAGCAAGCGCTCCAGCACCGATGTAACAGGGCGAGCAAAATCTTCCGAGGTCATGGTTGCGCCACCAGTGCGGTCTTCAATTGATGGCAGAAGAAGTTTACAGCACGTAAGTGCTGCGCTTTTACGAATGGTAGCAACTTCATGGTCAAGGAATTTAACCACTGTTTCATGAACAAATGACATGATCGGGATGAGTCGGTTGCCCTGGAAGTCGAAGTTGGCTAACGTCTCTAGCGCAAGCGCCTGCATTGCGATCGCTGATGATACATCAGTTGATGTGGCACCACTATCTGACGTTCCGTTGGTCTTTGCTCCCGTCGCTGAAAGAAACAGGTTCGACAGCATCCCACCTGTCACAGAAATAGAGGCCGTCTTAAGCCTCCTACTTGTGGGCGTCGTAGTTGACCCAGTTGTCTCATTTTGTCTAGAGCGCAGAATTGAGCTTAGTCTCTCAAACAACTTTTGCTGGATGACGGGTTTCATGGGCAAGATCCTTTTGGCAATGGTCGTCAATGTCTCGACCAGCGATGAGTCCAAGTCGTTCTGAAAAAGTGGACCCACCATGGACTCCAAGTCGACACGAATGAGTGCAGGGCCCACAGTCTCTGCCAGCATGCGCAGGCATGCAAGTGCCTCTCGATGTGTGTCGAAGTCTTTTTTGCGCACTTGCAGTCCACTCTTGATTCCATTCATTATCGCCATCAGTGCCTGCTCGTCCCTTGCTAGCAATGGTCCAATCGCCAGCGACAGTTTTCCAATCGAAAGTAGTGCATCAGGACGTGTTGTCGTTGTTGCCGAGAAAAGGACCTCAAGCAGATGATTCATACACGGTCTATAGCACTTTTCCACGAAGACTGACGTGTTAAACTTGGCTAAACGCGGGAAGAGATTAATCACAGCAGAACGCACAGTCGCGCTTTTGTGGTCCTGGTGACTGAACACCAGTCGACAAGCACGCGCATAGTGCGAGTGCATAAAGTCCCCCGTATTGCGTAGCAATTCATTGAGAATCAGCAGCGCGCCATGTGTCGCTTCGGAGCTGTTGCGCTTGAACGCTCCTTCAGCTTCATCGAGTGCGCGATTGTACCACGACGTCTTGCGATTCGACTCGCGTTGCTGAATGAGCATCAAGCACGACTGCAGCGATTCACTCGCACTTACGCGCACAACGACTTTCGAGTCCCAAAAGGCACTCCAGATAAAGTCAAAGTACTTGTCCATGTACCGAAACGACGTTGACGGCGCGTTGATCGACAGCTCTTTGAGGATCATAACCGCAGCGTGTCGACGCACGTGGAACGTCTCGTTCTTAAGCCACTCGAGTGCAGGCTTGACGTGGTAATCCTCGACAAACTCAATGAGACTCGTCCCGCCTGTGGACACAATGTGGCCCAGAGCCTTCGCCGCCACGCGCAGCATAGGCGGGTCCGCGCTCGGGATCTTCTCGAACACTCTCGTAAGCGAGTGCGCAAACTCAATGATCGTCTGGTCGTTGCGCTCGGCGATAAAGAGCTCCACGAGCTCGTCCATGGCCGCAATGCCGCCCATACGATCGGCGCTTTCGTTCGCGTTACAGAGCTGCAGCAGTCGCGCGCTGATATCCGTGACCCACTTCATGTAAAGGCCATGCGAGAGATCACGGGACTCGGACTCGATGTACAGACGCAAGCTCTGCGCGGCGCGGTACCGGGTGCTGCTGTTGCTGCTGCGCAGCCCCGGCAGGAACCGCGTGAAGCTGTCGACCATGACGCCTCGCGCGGGTTGAGCACGTGACTGTCTAGGGTGACGAGGGGTTTGTGGTGTGTGTACCACATACCACAAACCCCTCGTCACAGACATTAGGTATGTGGTGCACACATGCCCCTCCTGAAGGTGAGGCAGCGTTTACAAGACCCTGGAATGGCTACATGTGTCCACGGCAGCTTGACATGGCTACATGTGCATCCATTTTTTTCTACAATGCCGTGTCTGGCCGTGCTACAACGCTCTTGTGCGTGGCGTTTGTTGGAACTTCATCTCGCGCTCGTATGCTGCTTGTTTCATACTACAATCGGCGCTAAAATGGCCGAGCTGCTTGCAGTAACGACACGGTTGAGGACAGTCTTTCGAGTGGTGGTCGTCCTTCTTGCAGTTGTAGCACCGGCGATGGCGCTTGCTTTGCATCGTGGCTGGCGGACGTTTGCCTGATTGTATCGCGAGCGAACGTGCGTGCCACGCCTGCAGCTTGTTCTCAAGCCGCCGTTTCTTGCCTTGTTCTTTCTGACTGTACATCAGGCGACGACGCTCCTTCTCGTCGGCGTCCATCGGTGGCTTACGCTCAATGTCTGTTTTGCTTTCACAGTGCTCGACAATGCGTGTGAATTGCAGCTTGAAAAAGAAGAGCAGGTCCGACAAACGCGTAGTATCCGAGCCCTCTCGCAAGGACACCGACCTCTTCTTTGCTGCTGCAGTGTACTCTTCTAGCATGAGATAAATTGCTGCACCAAAAGCCAATACACACGGTAAAGAACTGTTACGGTACAACTACGCGCAGCTGTTTTGTGCTCTCATACCTTCAATCGTAGAGACACAACCTGCCCCCGCTTTGTGATAGCGCCAAAAGTTGCTTTCGTGAGGTGGTCGAGCAAGCTTGACATGTCGCAAATGCGCAATTGCATGGTCTGTCATAATCACCGGTGCTTTCTGCCACGGACAATCAATAAAGATGAGCGTATGAATGGCTTGGAGCTCCTCGGTACTCATCTCATCCAGCGTCTCGGCCGCATAAGATGGATACACGACCACAGCATTTTCGCGCGTATACTGTAGTTGATCAGCTCTATCTTCCAGTAGCGGATATGGAAGGATCTCCACGTCCTGTGGAGCCAGCACCTTGGCGTGGGGTGCCGTACTCTTCTTGATTTTGTCGTGGAACCACACGTGCACCTGCAGCGGCAGCGTAAGAGAAGGAACAGCAACGTCATCTGGAACACCCACTGCTATATTGCACTTAGGACAGTAGAACTTGTAGCTGCGCTGGCAAGACGTGCACGGCAAGCGCTGCCACGCCTCGGGTCGCTCGGTGTTCATGATCATTGCAAGGTCGCGACGTGATGTGATCGACGTGTATTTTTAGCCAATCCAGTCACTGCATCTCCCTCAAACAGCGACGGTACTCATCACCCACAGCAAGTGATTGGATGAAAGCCCTCACCTCGCTATTCAGCCAATCACATCGTCGGATGGACGAACAGGTGTCCGTCCACACCTCGACCGCTTGAATTCTAAATATGTGGTCGACGATGGTCCTGCGCTTCACCGAGTTCCTCCCGGGTGGAGCGCTCGCGACAGCAAGCGTGACGGTGCTCGTGTCCGCCTTGTCCAGCTCCTCGTCCGTGCTATGTGAGGAAACGCGCCAGCCGCACGTGGCGCTGAGCCCCAAAGAGTTCCGCTCCTTTACAGTGCGTAAGGTGGAGACTGTGAACCACAATACGAAACGTGTGACGTTTGAGCTGCCAACGCCTGAGCACGAAATGGGTCTCACGACGCCCAGTTGTCTCATGGCACGTGCCCGTGTCGATGGCAAGACAGTCGTGCGTCCTTACACGCCGACGAACGTGAACGAAGAGAAGGGGTTCTTAGAGCTCGTGGTCAAGGGGTATCCGCAAGGGAAGATGAGCAAGCACATTGTCGAGCTGAAAGAGGGCGATTCACTGGACATGAAGGGGCCCTTTATGAAGTTCACGTACAGTCCCAACAAGTACAAGAGCATTGGAATGATTGCTGGCGGTACCGGCATTACCCCCATGCTGCAGCTCATCAAGACCATTTGCCGCAATCCAGAAGATCACACAAAAATCACGTTGGTATACTGTAGTGTGTCGGAAGAAGACATCATCTTGCGTGAGGAAGTGGAGGCTATGATGTACCTGTACCCGCAGGTCTCGGTCATTCATGTGCTGAGTAACCCGTCTGCTGCTTGGCAGGGGCTCACGGGCTTTGTATCCAAGGAGATGCTCGAGCAGTTTATGCCGGGGCCATCGGATGACAACCTCGTGTGTGTCTGTGGTCCGCCGCCCATGATGTACCACGTGTCGGGTGACAAGGCGAAAGACAGATCCCAAGGCGAGCTGCAGGGCTTGCTTAAGGAGCTGAAGTACACGTCGAAGCAGGTGTTTAAATTCTAGACCTGAAGCAGGTGGTGATGCATCGCAAGGTCTCGCGTGCTTGCAGCAAACGATAATCTCAGGAGAGTTTCGGCCTCGCGGTAGCGAGATGCACTACTGACCTAGAACTAGTACTGTTTTAAAGATGTGCCTGTTCCATGTTTGTCCGTTGCACACCAGGGATGTCTGGTAAGGTACCGGCGATTCTATTGCGTCTTGTTTATAAATGCATGCAGCTTCTTCCCGTTAGTTGCACCCAGAAGCGCCGTGAGGTCGTCCAGCGACTGCCGGCTGAGCTCGGCGAGATTTCTGACGCTCGCTAACACCTTCCGGTAATTGTGTTCGTTCACGCCTGGCAGCTTCTTCAGCACGTCGATCGAGCTCGTGTTGTAGTAACTTGCTGCCACCCCTCCCTCGCCGCGATTGATTTGACCAGCATTGGCGCCTACAACTGCATCGTTGCCCAATGCAGCTGCGGTATCGGTGTCAGGCTCTTCTTGATACTTCTTGATGATCTTGAAAAGGTCCACCGTGGCGTGTGGCGAGCGCGACCAAAGGATCCGTAGTGAAGGAAAGTGCAGGATCAGCAGGGTGAGCTTGGAGACGATATTCGAGGCATTGATCTCAGAGCCAAGCTCGGACACGTCCTGCAATGAAAACGCCTTGCCTTGAGTGAACTCGATCAATAGCACGGGCGTTTTGTAGTAGCGACGCATGCTTTCCGCCTGGTTGAACAATCGCCCGGAGTTCAGTGAACCGAAAAGATCACTCACGCTTTTGCGCTCTACACAGATCTCTGGTGACAAGACGTAGTCGCCAATTTCCAGCGTCACGGGAAGGACAAACAGTCCTTCCTTGTGAAGCATGGACGGCAAGGCGCTTCGAAACTCACGGACATCAACGACAACTTTAACGCCGGCGCGACGAGACTTGGCCCGACCACCCGTTCGTGTGTCCATACTGTACTCTACGATCTCCTGTCGTAGCTTCATGTGGAGCGGCAGATCGTAAACATTGGCAGGCATCATCAAGTGAGCTTTCTGGTGGATGAGCTTGTCGAATGCACGCTTTTCGCGCTGAATTTCACTCAAATACGATTGCTGCTCCGTGCTTTCATTGTACATCATGAAGTAGATCTCAAGCGGCGCAACATGCGAGGCATGGAACACTTCGACTTCGCGGATGAACGCCATGTCTGGGTCGTACAGCACGATACAAGAAGGCATGAGGTCCTCAAGAAAGGCAGAGGCGCCATGGCCATGCTGCGTGGCTTGCTCGTATGTACATAGGACGACGCTGTCAAGGGGGTCCACCAGTTCAAGTGATAAATTTGGCGTTCCTGAAGATCGATTTCGGCGATGAGACGCTTCTTGACCATCACGAAGACAACCATCTAGTGATAACCTCGCCCTTGTTTTGCACTCCACTTGATCGTCGCGCCCTGCAGTAATGGCTTCAAGCTCTGCTGCTGACAAACCAAAGCTCGACACATCAGTAATGTGTGCCTGGATATCTTTGTAGTTATTTGGTAATAGCTCGTCTCGCGTACGCTTCTTGGAATTGCCAGGTTTTTGTTCACTCTTCGCGCCTGACGAATGTACTGCGTTCTCTTCAGTGTACAGTTCGTCCGCTCGTAACTTCACAGCAGCGTCCAAAAGAAGTCGTTGCTCGAGCCCCAATGAAGCTATACTACCTCCTTTTTGCTTCATCGTGGCCTCTTTCTGCAGCAAGTAATGACCGAAACGCCGCCTCATCATTTCCTGAGCGCCTAAACTCAAGAACTCACGTAACTGTGCACAAGTCCGCTCATCCTTGACCATCACCAGTACACTGGCCCCACCAGCTGCGGATCTCACCTTCGCTTGATCCGTTTTTGTCTCGTGGTCACGCTGTTGCTCAAGGTGCACTTCGTCTAAAACCTCTTTCAGTGCATCCCACTTTGGATTATGCTCGAGCACAACTTTTACCTCAGCGATGCTGGCAATACTTGTGGCCGAACCATTCAATGCACCAAACTGACGGAGGTTTACGGGCTTTTTAGTTTTCGGGTCCACGATCTGGTACAGTCGTTCTTTTGCCGCAGAAAGAAGCCGATCTGCAGCATCCGTGAATAGCCACGGCGATGGAAAACGTTGCTGGCCGTTCATAGTTTGATAATTCACCAGAAATGAATAGTATGAAATGGCATCGTAATGTGGAAGGTAGACGAGCAGCTGGCGCAACGTTGACAGGTCTGCAACAAGCTGCTTCGTTTTGACGGGCAACTTATGCCACAATGGGTCCAATTGTCGTCGAATAAAAGTGCTAAACGACTTAGCAAGAGCCCTCTCCATAGTAAGATCCGCAGCATCAAGAGACTTGGTGCTGCATTGCAGCTCTTTCACCGTAGCTTCCAGTGCAACAAGCAGAGCTTCCTGCATGGTATTCATCAACGGTGAAAATGCCACTTCAATTTCGTACACTTCGGGTTGATGCTTCTCCAGACACGAGTGGATCGAGATATGAAATCTCGGATACAAAAACACATTTCGCACGTACAAGTGCTTGAGCACTTGTTCCACGCGGTTAAAACCCGACGACAGCGCGACGCTGTCATCGCAAAACGCTTTAATGAATCCATCCCGATTGCGTTCACGATAGAGCCGCAGAATAAATGCTTCAATCGACGTCTCAGTCACTGAGTGGGCTTTGTTCACCAGCAGTCCACTGACGATGCCTGGATCCACGTGACTGGACAGCAGATCGACTACAAGGATGCGTGTAGTCACGAAGAAGACACCGCCACGCTTGTACATCTGCTGCCTCTCATTCAAAGAAGTCCGAGCGTCAACCACCCGCGGCACTAGACGGCGATCAAGTCCCATTGCCAGCACTAGACGTTGCAGCGTTGCCGCCTGTTCGTTGACGTTCAGACAGAGCACGAGACTGCGGGGCGAGCAGTAGAGACGCACGAAGCTCGCAAACACACGCAAAAGACCGAGCCCACGGCCCAGAACCAGCATCCCGTCCTGTGCGTAGAGCTCTTCGACCATTTCCTTCTCAAAATCCAGCCACTGCGCCACCAGCGATGGGATAGCAGCGTCTGGAGCGACGGTATCATCAGCTTCATCGATGGTCGTGAGATCGATCACTTGCACTTGTTCTGCTGCCATCTCCGCGACGATCTTTGGTCCTCGGCTAGTAGCAGTAGTTACAATCGAGTCAGTTCTGTGTATTGAATGACCGGCGACTCAGGAAGTTGCGACGACGCTGGCATGGAGTGAAGAGCCGGCGACGACTAATGGCTTCAGACGTCGTGGGAACTCGATGGCGATGGCTTTTTTTGGTCGTTGCTAATCAGCTCAGCAAAAAAAAGACTTTTGGTAGCGGCAGGGCGGGACTATATTCGCACGATCCGTCTTAAAACAGTACACTGGATTAAGGTCGATCTGGATTACCAAAGCGAGCTAAACGGCACTAAAAATCGCTCTTGCTTGACGAGAACAAGATCGATGAAGTGATTGTGTGATAGAAAAGAGTAGGTAAAGCAGCGACGTGCCGTAATCTGCTTGCTGAACATCCATGGAGCATGTGTCTGTGTACTTCCTCCTCGCTTATTGGTAACGGTGTTGGTTACTGATACTAATGACCATATGTCATGGACGACACTGTGTGATAGTGTGTAACGATGGGATCGACTCATCGTTTTGTTACTAATATTATAGAGTCGATATCGATAGGCTTAGAGTAGTACAACGAGACGAACTAAGGACCTAGCTAGATGATAATTCACTTTCCATTTTACCTTCTTCTAAGCTCTCCCACCTCAACTCGCTCTTGGCTGTTGCCAAAAGTCAAAAGGTTATGAGCCCAACTACGCCGGATGCGGGCGACATACTCCGCGAAGATAACTACTTCGTGTGGGAGTTCAACGCAAGGATGAGGCTGGCAAAGAAGGGATTGCTAGAGCACCTAGACGCTATGAAGGCCCCAGAAGAAGGAGACGCAAGCGCGTCAACTTGGAAAGTCAACGACATGAAGGCCTTCGCGATTGTGTCCACAATGATCAGCACAAATCTTCAGTCAATGGTGCGCACGGCAGAGACAACGGCAAAAGCATGGGACATACTGAAGACTTTCTTCCTGCGGCAAAGTATGCACAATCGTGTGCAGTTGCGGCGGCAACTACATGAGTTCAAGTTGGCCAAGGGAGGAAGCATCATGGATCACTTCCTGAGATTTGACGAGCTGTGCATGACTATGCAAGCTGTGGGACAAGAGATCTCACAGGATGAGCATTTGGTCATCCTATTGGGTAGTCTAACGAGAGACTATGACCCTATCGTCAAGATAATTGAGAACATGCCCGGAATGACACTGTTTCACGCTAAGGAAATGCTGAGACGGGAGTACGATGGAATGGCGAGGACAGAACACCAAGAAATCGCACTGAAAAGTACGCACACTTCCAAGTACAAGAAAGGTCCGCGCAGACATATGGGGAGATCAAGTTCAAGAGGTGAAAAGTTTTCGGGAAGGTGTTACCGATGTAACAAATATGGGCACAAGCGTCAAGATTGCAAGGCTGAACAAGTGGAGACAGAGCGATCTGGAGAAGAGAGAGCATTTACTGCGTCAAGTCGGACGTCAGCTGGATGGTTATTGGACAGTGGGGCAAGCAGCCACATGTGTCCCGACAGAAATGAGTTTTCGAATTTAAACTCACTGACGGACCCGATCATGATCACCATAGCAGACGGCAGCGAAGTGGAAGCGCAAGGTGTTGGGACAGTGCGCGTGCAACTCAAGACTGGTGAAGTGATCAGGATCGAAGAAACGCTATGGGTGCCGGGCCTAGACCGAAGGCTACTGTCAATATCGGCATTGTCAAAGAGGGGTCTACAAGTGATCTTCTCAGATCTGAGCTGTCAGATCAGAAGTAACACGGAAGTCGTTGCCCAAATACCAAGACGAAACAAGATGTACGTCTTAGAGTGCAGTCCGGCTGAGGTAGCCAACGTTTGCGGAGAGACATCTCAAGAGCAAGAATCAAGTGACGGATCAGGAGCGGCTGATCTACAAGTGTGGCATGCAAGATTAGGTCACCTGTCAACGAAGATGCTCAAGGGTATGGCAGGTTGCGTCAATGGATTAAAGATCAAGAAGAATCAAGGCGTTGAAGATGATATCGAGATCTGCGAAGGGTGCATCATGGGTAAAGCAACCGTCAAGACGTTTCCGAAGTCACCATACGGACACGTGAAAACCAAGGAGGTGTTGCAGTTGGTCCACAGTGATGTCATGGGACCTATGGAATCGAAGTCTCGAGGAGGATCAAGATTTGTCGTGACTTTTATTGATGATTATTCGAGATATATAGTCGCATACTATATTGAGAACAAGTCGGAAGTGACGGATCGCTTTATAGAGTATAAGGCACTTATGGAGAATCAACTGTCCAAGAAGATCAAGTGTATCAGGACGGACAACGGGACGGAATACGTCAACAGACGTTTCTCCGGTGTATGTCGAAAATCTGGTATCATGCATCAGACGACGGTACCCTATTCGCCACAACAGAATGGGCTGGCCGAACGCATGAACAGGACACTGACAGAGCGGGCCAGAGCAATGCTCAGCCATATGCAAGTGGATAAAATTTGGTGGGCTGAGGCGATGAACACGGCAGTCTATGTGACAAACCGAGTTCCATGTGCTAGTCACCCGACTAAAACTCCATTTGAGTTCATCTTCGGGAAGAAGCCTGACCTCTCCGAGATGTGTGTATTTGGATCAAAGGGATATGCACATGTCGACAAGTCGAACAGGACCAAGATGACCAAGAAGGCGATTCGATGTATTTTTCTAGGTTACTCGGATCAAATCAAGGGGCTTCGAATATGGGATGAAGATGCCAAGAGGGTGACGCACACGAGATCGGCTAAATTCGATGAGAGACCACCACTTCAGTACGTGCAACGTTACAGCAGATCAAGTGACCAAGAGTTTCGCGCTGTTCATGACGAAGACACTGTTTCTATCGATTTAGAACAGCCACGAGTCACGAAAGACATGGACATAGCAATGGAGGACAGTCACAGTGTTCAAGAAGAGAGTCACATGCAAGACAGGCGTACAACAACGATGGCTCTACCATCAAGATGCAGTAGCAAGATGCCTGAACACGTGGGTTCCAATGCTGACGATCCAATGTTTGAAATTGATGATGTGACGATGATTGAAGAAGATCAAGAATCGGCTGAAGACGTGTCAAGACAAGGACAGATGGTGATACGACCAAGTCGACAGACAAGTATTCAAGCATCGCAAGAAACCGCGATGGTTCCACTAGAATCGGTTCAACATGGACAATCTCAAGCGTTAATACCAGTGAATGGTGCTGATGAGGACTTTTATGACGGCTCAGAAGTGTGTCAAGAAAAAGGCACAAAGAGACTACGTATTGGGTATGAGCAAGCATGTGCAGCGTTCGAGACCCCAACGACATACAAAGAAGCTCTTAAGTCACCTCGTCGTGATAATTGGTACAAGGCCATTCAAGCTGAGCTCAAGGCATTAGAGGAAAAGGACACCTGGACTGTTCAAACACAGCGTCCAAACCAGAAAGTGATTGGAACCAAGTGGGTGTTCGCACTCAAACGAAACGAGCTGGGTGAGATTATTCGATACAAGGCACGTCTTGTAGCACTTGGCTACAGGCAGACGTATGGAGTTGACTACATGGAGACATATTCACCTGTGGCAAACCTCAACTCAATACGGGTGTTTTTGGCGGTGTGCTGTCAAAAGGGGATGTTGATTCATCAATATGATGTCGACACTGCGTTTCTGTATGGCGTTTTGGAAGAAGAGGTATACGTATACCCTCCTCTGGGTGTTCGTGCAGAACATAATCAAGTGCTTAAGCTGAATCGCAGTCTGTATGGGCTGAAACAAGCGGCCGCTACATGGTACAAGACAATTTCGTGTGTGTTTGTGGAGATGGGGTTCTTTTCATGCGTGGCAGACTCATGCATTTTCGTCAAAGAGACCAAGGGCTCGTGGATTTACGCTGCATTATATGTGGACGACCTTCTAATTGGGGCTGAATCTACTGGAGTGATGGAAGATGTGGCAGCTCAACTATCAAGTCGTTTCCAGTTGAAGATACTAGGGGTGTTCGATACGTTCTTGGAATCGAAGTCAAGTACCTGCGCAACAATCGACGTCTGAAGATCAGTCAAGGATCGTGTATATCAAGAATGGTCGAGAAATTTAATCAAGTTGATGCGAAAGCAGTGTCAAATCCAAGTGTTGAAGGGCAAGCGATGGTCAAGATGGACAAAGCTGACACAAGAATGAAGAATCGACCGTATCGATCGTTAGTGGGGTCGTTGTTGTATGTGGCAACAGGCACACGACCAGATATTGCGTATACAGTATGTCAGCTGAGTCGTCATTTGGAATTTCCACATGAAGAGCACTGGAATGCAGCGATTCGAGTGTTGCGATATCTGAAGACGACGCAGAGCAAAGGAATTTGTTATGAAGGAGTTTCAGGCAATCTTCAGCTGAGCGCGTACACCGATGCAGACTGGGCAAGTAACAAGTGGAATCGCAGATCGATTTCGGGAGTTTTTATCATGATTAATGGCGCACCTGTGATTTTCAAGTCGAAGATGCAGCAGAGCGTGGCACTGAGCACGGCAGAAGCAGAGTATATGGCTCTTTCTTTATGTGTGCAGGAGGTTCTGTGGACAAGAAGTCTACTCAAGGAGATGCAAGTGCAGATTAACTATGCTGTCAAGATTCACGAAGACAACCAGAGTGCAATCGCTATCGCTAAGAACGACGGCTATCAAAGTCGAGCGAAACATATCGACATCAGATACCATTTTGTGCGCGAACAGGTGAAAGACAAGATTATCGACCTGCAGTATACTGAAACCAAGTCACAGCTGGCAGATTTTCTGACCAAACCGATTTCGACAAAGAAGTTCGAGTCGCTGCTGGACAAGGCCAGGATCAGAGACTTCTAGTCGAGGGGGAGTATTGGTAACGGTGTTGGTTACTGATACTAATGACCATATGTCATGGACGACACTGTGTGATAGTGTGTAACGATGGGATCGACTCATCGTTTTGTTACTAATATTATAGAGTCGATATCGATAGGCTTAGAGTAGTACAACGAGACGAACTAAGGACCTAGCTAGATGATAATTCACTTTCCATTTTACCTTCTTCTAAGCTCTCCCACCTCAACTCGCTCTTGGCTGTTGCCAAAAGTCAAAATCGCTGTTCATGTGGTCGATGGCAACGGGGGTTTGGCCAGTACCTTCGTTGCGAACCGTGCCTCCAGCATCTCATAGAATGCACAGGAATGCGCGTTTGATAACATCATTCTAAGCGTGACACTCCATGTATGCTTTCCTAGTCTACTTCAGTCAATTAACGCCAGTAATGTATGTTGTGCGTTGGTGCAATCTTGGCTCGCTTTGGACGAGAAAATGAGGTCGCAAACGAGGTTATGCAGGCATCATTTCGCAGCAGATACGGGCGCAGAATCGAAGATCGGCTGCTACGATCGGTCGAAGCTCAAGCTGCACATGTATGCACGCTTGCACATCGTGCCAAACGGCTTACTTACTGTGTGCATCATTAATGGTAAAAACATTGAGTCAGCCATAACTTGGTTGCTCGGGAGAAGTTGACAGGAGTCCAGAGCTTTCCCCTGCATGGACCAAGCAGGCTGCTCTCACTTGTTTCGTTACCGACCCAACTCAGCAGCGATGTGGCAGCGACATTGTTCAAGTCGCTACCTATGCGATTAGAGTGCAATGACGTTCATAATTTGCCGGCAGCGGTTTCAGAAGCTTGAGCTGAATCCTTGAACTGACTTTCTTTCAGTGAAATCGCAGCGGTTGCCACATTCACGATCCAGATAATATCTATCGATTGTAAGACAGGGGAGCAAGCTCTGGAGCTCGCCGTTTGATAGAAGCAATTCAGTTCAGAGAACTGAATCAAGTTGCAAAAACTACACAACAGCAGTCACTGAAGATAGAGTATGATGGTGTCAATGTACGTATGAATTTTAGTACTTCGTATACTCAAGCAACGCGATCAGCCTTTGCTAATGAGCGTCCAGCATTTGCTGATGTGATCATATTCACCTTTGATCGATTTTAAGCCAATCACATGCGTGCATCGGAATAGTGACCTCGCCAAAGACTGACTTTGGAAATGCCTTTTTACCAATGAGGAGGGAAAGGCCAGATCGTTTTTAGTTCGAGTCAGGTACACCTAACCGCGTTATGAACCGACACACGGATAAGTACGATTTAAAAGTTCGGCATCCAACCTTGCGCACACTCACTAACCGCTTCGCCCTTCGGACTCGCACTTACTTACAGGTAGGTACAGATGTGGAGCACATCTCATTTTTATGAACCGACGGTCACGAAAAACAATGGGTACGTGTCAAACCTCTAAGAACTCATACAAAAGCACTAACCACATGATTCGTGCCGTACCGGCAACTGATGTTTCCAAATCCATATCCTCTCATCTTTAATGACATATGATCCACTCTACCATCCGATACTCACTCAACTCTCTGAGCATCGACCGTAATCGCTGCGCTCCATAGCGCCTCAGCTCTCCCGTAGTCAAGTTGTTGGCCGTGTTTCGGTCTCAGTAGCAGAGAAGCGGTCGACCCCCTCTCACTGTTCGTAGTAGCCGAGCAACAAGCACGACGCACGACCCAGTGAGGCCACGCGCCGCTTCGAGCCTCGTGAGCGACGTGCCGTTTATGGAGTCCATCACGTCCATGGCCGAGCTGCCGAGAGTCGAGCCCCGTGCTGGTAACGGCAGGAGCAGCACTGGCAAGCTCCATGACCTTGTGCACAAGTACCGCATGGTGGAGTTTGCGATTTCTATCGTCATGTACGGCCTCGCACTCGTCTTTGCCACTATTCAAGTCGCTCAGCGTACGGCCGTTTGCGCATTTTGTGTCTATCTTCTCCTTGTTGTTGCTGTTGTTGTTGCTGTTGTTGTTGTTGTTGTTCGTATATTTCATCCTCATTTCGGGCTTTTCGCTCCTTTTGTTCATTGGGTGCATCTTGTGCTTTCTTGTGCAGGTGAGATATCTAACATCGAAGTGCAGCTGAACTCAACCACGTCCATATGGGCTCGAGACCCGACGATAAACAACAAGGAGAAGGCGCAGCAGGTCTCAATGACTGCACTGATTTCGGTCGGAGTTGGGGCGCCGGTCATCACGAACCTCGTTATGAACTACGTGCTGCCCAAGTTTCACAATGTGCGGGTGATCCCGCACGACACGCGGGACTTCTTCTTGACGCTCGTGCAGTCGACGAGTATGGCGACGCTATTGACGCAATTTACAAAGAACATGACGGGACGCTTTCGTCCGTGCTTTTACGACATGTGCAAGTGGCAGTACGACGTTGTGTGGGACGGCGTCACCAATCTTTGTCAAAGCCCGTCTGGCGAGAAGGAAGGACGCAAGAGTTTTCCTTCGGGACACGCGTCGTTTGCGTTTGCAACGATGCTCGTTTTCACAGTAAGTGGCTGCTCGCGAAGTTGGATGGTGTTTTTGTTGGTGGTGTATTTTTCTGGCATTATTCAGTTGAGTAACATGCCCTTGTGTCGATACTTTGTGCAGCTGTACTTGCTCGGGCGCTCGTCTTTGAACTGCGAGAACCGAAGTGAGACGATGATGCGGGGCGGACGTAAATCGATCAAGCTCTTTTTCTGCTTCATTCCTACTTTCTTGGCGGCGTGGGTGGGTGTGACGCGTACGATCGACAATTGGCACCACTATGCTGACATTTTGGCGGGTAGCATCATTGGCGCCGTTTCCGCGTGCTTATCGTACAGTTACAACTATGCGTCGATATTCCACAGCGAGCATGCTGGTTTCCCTCTGCAAGGATACCATGCCACCTGCAAGGTATGTGTCCTTGGGCGTTATCATGTGTTCTGATTTAGGCGTAGTTGATGCTGATTGTGGCTTGTATGACGTAGAGAAAAAAGCTGACAAGAACTACTAGCGGCATCACATACGCGAGTAACGAGAGCTGTGATCAGGAGAGCGTGTCGAGCAGGCCGGTAAACGGATGTAAGGACTATGCAGTGAACATGCATAACCGCACCAATGCTGGCGATTGAGAGCAGTGAGTATTTGTTTGTGTAGACCAGATTCTTGTCGTGCAACAGCCTTGAATGCCGACATGAGGGACAGAAGACAGTTCTAGCAAGCGCTGAAGACGACAGGTATTTGATAATTTGCGAAATACACATGAAGGTGAAAACGGATGATGTTGAGGTGGAGATTAAGACGAGGAAGTTGGTGGCGTTATCGTCGCCAAGTGAGCAAGATCACGAGGGTGTTCATACCGCGCGTCGAGTGAAAGAGGGTACCGCATACAACGGGCTGTGGGCACGCAGAAGAAGTAAAGTCGAGAACGTGTTTCCGTCAGGTCATGCTTCGTTTGCTTGGTCTGCGGCGAGTGCAAAACGAGAAATGTTTTTGAACCACGCCATCGCGATCGACGTAGCTTGACCGCTAGATACACAGCAATGACGCGGTCTATAAGCAGCTAGCACCACTACTCGGACTTTCTGGCTGGCACCACCATCGGTGCCGTGTCTGCTGGCATGTCCTCAGCGGCAGCCAACCCTCCATATTCCCAGGACTAGCATTGGCAAGTCCCCGAATTCCTCGTCGAGCACGCTATATGCAGCGACAAAAAGGTGCATCAGAAGCGCAAGGTAGTCCAGACTTCCGATTGTGCACTTTTCGACTGCCAACAACCATATTCTAATCGACGCGTATTCGCATAGCTCGTGACAGCAGCAGAAAAAAGTATGTGTATGTTACCAGTCATACACCGACAGAGTCTCGGCTACGGCTACTCAGGTCAACGATGTACCCACTCGACGTGTAATTTAGCAGAGGGGGTTGTGAGTCCGAGTCGGTGCGCCATGACGGCAACTGGTCAGGTCGCCCACTCCATCCTTCCGTTGCTTTGATCTGCATCATCAACACACCACGCCAATGGGTTTAATTCTCCGCCCACTTCTACTAGTTCAACTCATGCCTGCTCCGTCCTTACAGTGCGGCGCTCGTGAATCTCCTCGAGCGGCAGACCCGCGCAATCCCAGCTGAAAATCGACCCGTAGTTGTAGTTGAACGCAAAAAGCGCCGATACAGCGCCAATGACACTGCCTGCCAAAATGTCGCTGTAATGATGCCAGTTGTCAATGCAGCGCGAGATTGCGATCCAGGAAGCAAGGAGAATCGGAGCGCAGCACAGGAACAGCATCAACGATTTCTTGCCACCTCGCAATGTCGAGCTGCTGCGATTCTCGCAATTGAGACGCGATCGACCCAACAGATAAAGCTGCAGCCACACACGAAAAAAGATCAACGTCAATCGGTTCCGACTCAACTATCGCACGACTAGATCAAAAGCCAGAGCCGAACGTACCGCTAGAACGAGCATACTTGCCCACGCAAAAGACGCGTGACCGGATGGAAAACTCTTGCGTCCTTCTTTCTCGCCAGCAGCATCAGTGCACAAATTCGTGACGCCGTCCCAGACCACGTCGAATTGCCACTTGCACATGTCATAGAAACTGGGACGAAAGCGGCCTGTAATGTTCTTCGTAAACTGCGTGAAAAACGTCGCGAGAGCCACCGACTGAACGAGACTCAGCAGGAAGTCGCGCGTATCGTGAGCAATCACTCGGACCTGGCAGACGACTGGCAGCACGTAATTTACGAAGATGTTGATTACGATTGGTAGAGCAACACCTAGTACCAGCAAGAGCCACATGGGAACTGTTGTAGTGCAGTACGACACACAGTCATCAAGAGTCAATCGTTACATACCTCCTCCCTCACTCAATTGTTTAACCAACAATTGTTCAACCAACAATAGACTCACCTTGTTCCGACAACTTTGACTCGTCAATGGACGGATCGAGCGCCCACGTCATTGCAGTGGCACTCAATCGAACTCTTATCGCAGGAATCGGACGCTCGTGCACTTCAATCTCGGCAAACACGAGCGCCAGGAGGAGCAGCACTACTGCACTACCGAATTCTAACAGCCGGTACCGTCGCACCACGCGCTGGAAAGCGTTTGGAGCCGGTTCAATGACATCAGCTTCGCAAATGTTCATGGCCGAGTGCTCCGTCTCGCCCGTGCTCCCATCGATCGGCAAGTGCGCAGCAGCCGCCGCTGAGTTGCGTGGAGACGCCGCCATGGAACGGTACTCAAAAGTCTCGGCTTCCTGTCCTCGCTTGATGTCGGTCGGGGTAGTCATTGAATCGTTGACTGGAACAGCAGAGTTGTACCACGTGGGACTTGTGCTGGTCCGACTCTATTCCGGACAATTGGACAATGAGACTCCAGGTGCTTTTCGCGAAACCGCGTCTCGAGATGAGCCAAGTCCGGCTGGAAATAGAGAGAGACTTGATTCTACTATACTAAAATGGATTCTTTACAAGTCAAAAGGAGGCTTGTACCCACACTATTCGGAGTCCAACGTCGACACTCAGCCGATCGGCGCACAAATACATACTCCGACCAGATGGTGTGAATCGTCCTGTTTCTTGTGCGGTACATAATTGTGGTCATCTGTCGGGTGTGTACCTCTACTATGGTATATTCTGATTCGACAGCCGAAGAAGACAGAAAACGAACGATTTTGGGCCAAGAGCTCCGCTAAAACGAGCTCCTGACATGCGCCACGTCTCTTCGTCTCGGAGGTGCGTATCCACTCAAGGATCCATCGCCTCCTGCGCTTCCTCTCTCACCTTATTTCAGTGCACGTTCCAGTCCTGATTGCCCGTCGTCGTCGTCGTTGTCGTTGTTTGATGGTCCCAGTGGCAGGTACGTCCGAGTGGGAGGTCAGTGTCGAAGATACTGAAGTACTGATCGAGCGTGCGTTTACCACAGTATTGAATGGAAGAGGATGCAGGACTTTCAAGAGATGGCTACAAACGAAGAGCTAGTGGGATCCGAATTGAACTTGGACGTGGAGGAGAAGCAGCAGCGCAGCGATCGTGTGGATGATGCTGCAGCTGGCGAGCCGACTGCTGCGCTCTGTCGCTTTTTTGTACTGGGCAAGTGCATCTATGGCAGTCGCTGTACGTTTTCACATACGCTGCCTCACCTTGTGAGCGACTGCACGGCTGATGAAGAAGAGCGCCTGTCGGCGGCGGCCGCACTTGTAGACTGTCCGTTTTTTTTGCGTGGCAAGTGTAAGTTTGGCGAGCACTGTCGTCTTCGACATGATTCAATGATGCTGTCACGACCGTCAGCTGCCACTTGCTCTGCAGTGTCGAGACCTGCGGCGGTTTCTACTACTTTCCCTGACAACGAGCAGGAGTTTACATGTGGCATCTGCTTTGACGATATCGTACAGTCTGGCAAACATTTTGGACTACTAAGTGAGTGGTGACTGACTATTTTTATGCAATACGGCCGCATGACAAGAGCTGACCGAGATGACTGTTGTGTGCGCTGCAGGCTGCAATCACTGTTTTTGCCTGGAATGCCTGCGTTCGTGGAGGCAGTCGAAGGAAATGGAGCTCGTTCGAGCGTGTCCAGCTTGCCGTTTTCCGAGTGACTATATTGTGCCGTCACTCACATTTTGCATCGGTGAAGAGAAGCGCAAGGTTGTTGAGGCGTATAAAAGCCACTTGGCGTTGCGCGAGTGCAAATACTTTAACGGCCTCCTGGGTAGTTGTCCATTCGGACCCCGTTGCTTTTATGCGCACCTTGACGCGAGCGGTCGTGACGTGAAGCAGTTGGATCGTCCTAAACAACGGACGAAACAACAACGCAGTCGACGCGATCACGAAGATGGCGATGCAATGCTGCAGTCGCTGCTTGAACGGTACAACCACCTTTTCCACTTTTTCGAAGACGGAGACACGAACGACAGTAGCGACTCGAACGACTTGGGGGACTCGGAGGAGGACTCTATCGAGGCAGGGTTTTCCGACAATGAGTACGACACAGAATGAGCAGAGCTCGGGATCGATGAGGCACCAATGTGGCGTGGAAAGAAGCGCGACACGATTTATGGTTGAGTATAGCAGAATGCAAAAGCAGAGAGGAAGCAATAGTGGCTACAAGAAATTTAACATGGCTATCACTGAAGTGATTGAAATCTGAGTACATTATCGGGATTAGCTGCGTCTTATTATCAATTTCGTACATCTTCGCCACAAAGCAAGAGATGATGCAGGATCTTGTCGACCTAGCCTCTCATACAGTCGCCGGTGTCGGTCCTAGTTGAGAGCGTAAGGACCCAGGTTGTGACGTCATAAAAAGTAAACAACCATCGGTGTCGACACTCACGGTGTGCTGCAAAGAATATGTCGATCTCTACTTTTATGGGTGCCATGCTCGAGTTCGTTATCGCATGTTCCTTTGTTGGATAGCGAATTACCATTAATTTCGGATGTACCTGAATGCGTGATGAGGCTGTGGCATGACCGATCGCTACCTTACTATGAAGTAGATGCTATGCAGACTTCTATCACCTCTAACATACGGGTGTCTGTCTACCTATCATGCGATGAAATTGTGATCAACTAATCACTTCAAGTGTTTTAGTGACGATGTTTTACAGCACATCAAGACTAGCATCGTGAGGTTTTGTTCAAGTAGGTTTTAAAGGTTTTACATTTGGAACCTCAACTTTCAGCTTGGGGACTATTTGAGGTTTAACGAGGTTTTAATAGCTCAAACCTAAATTCCCTGCTAAATACAATGAGGTTTAATCCAGCCTTGCAGCACAAACTATTGAGATCTGCACCACTTAACATATGTTCCAGGCGGTTGTGGTACGCCAAGTACGGAAAAGATGTCAACCGCAAGGCAGACACTACCCGACCCGATAACGCCATACTAAAACTCACTTGCATTGCATGCTGGTGAGACCAACTGGTAATGGCAACCAAGTCACTGGTTGTCGTAAACAAAAGGCTAAGAACTGCACTCGTTATTTGACTGAAGATGATATTCAGAGTATCGGATACCTCATTAGCATATTTACATAGTCACCTGGTAAAGAAAGACCGGTTGACAAGCTGTAGTCAAGCTTTTCGAAGCCGCTCACTAGACTGCCAACGATAGTTGTTGTTTGGATTATTGGTACAACTTGGAGGTCATACAGGTGTAGGAACATCGATTGTAAGCGGCCAGACTACATGGCGGCACGATAATGCCTGCCTCAAGTGCTGTATCGAGTCACCGCTAGCTTCGAACAACCAGGCCTTAGGTGCTCTCCTGTGCCTCGTTCGAGTTCTCATTTCGATCCTTTAGTACGATGAGTGCGTCTTCCAGACAACGCAAACACAGAACTGTGGTGTTGAAACGCTGGTTGTAGCCATCATTTGGCGCGAAGCACAATCGACACGCTGGCAACTCCAAACCCATGGGGAGAGAGGTAGCTAAAAATTGTCGCCACAATGTTGGGTTTTGCTCTCGGACTTCGGCCCGACTACGGATATGATTCAGCTCCATGTACTCCACAAGATCTCTCCGAGTGATAGTTACCTCATCATTCCCAGACTGTCTTAGAGAAGCTGCAGTGGAGCCAACGTCAGACTGATCGCGCGCAAGCACTTCATTTTCAGCCAGCCTGGCCGTGGAAGGATCATGGACGTCAGAGATCGCCAGGTCGATCACACTGTTTGTCGCCGCCGCCGCCACGATCTCGGTGTCACGGGTACCACTTGCATGATCGTCGGATGTCAGCGTCTCCGGTCCTTGTTCCGTGCAACACTTCGACCCGCCCATCTCGATTGCCGCTCTTGGCTGCTCGTTAGCTCCATTCGTAATGGTCAGCTCATCCGTCAACACGTCACTAGTGTTTGCAATAACCAAGATCTGATCAATAGTGACACCTGCCAAGGTCATCGCGTTTGTCATTTCATCACTAGTATTTGCTTCAATTGAGATCTGGCCTAACGTTGACTGTCTGCCAGAATCGTCTTCTGCCACGACTTGGTCAATGCTGCCACTTTCGGGGTTGGACATCAAGTTATTCAACGTCTGGTCCTTTTCATTTATGATCGGCCTTTGAGCAGCATCGACGACCTTCTGCTTTACAGCCCAATCTTCGTCACTTTCTCGTGTCGCGCAGACGGACGCTGCATCCATATCATTAGACGTCTCTTCGACTTCTGTGGACGCAGGGAACCACGTCTCAATTGGTTGACCAAATGTGCCTGTACACGATTTGGCGCCAGCCTGCGTTTTCGAGGGATCGTCGCCTTTTTCTTCAGGATCTTCGTCAGAATTACACATTGACTCTTTGGTGGTCAAGCTACAGGAGGTGTCACTTGTCTTACGTGACAAAAAATCGGAGACTCTTGACAGTTCGTCTGCTGGAATCGCGTTTCCCTCAGCTCGCAGTACACTGAGGCGTGTCGAGGAAAATGTGGTCAGCGCTGGAAGGCGAGTGATTGCATTCCAGCGAACGTCGAAGATCACGAGGTGTGGCAGCTCTGGAAATTGAGCTGTGGTCAGGTTATTGTGCGCCAACCTCAGCTCTTCTAGTTGAGTAAGACCGTGGACGCAAGCAGGAAGCTCAATCAGCGCGTTCTCTGACACATTTAGTGTTTTGAGGTTTTGCAGGCGACACAAGCCCGCGGGAAGATCTGTAAGCTCGTTTCCACTGATATCCAACGATACCAAGTTTTCATGCAGCAGCACAGCATTTGGGACTTGTCTTAGGCCAAGACCCCGCAGAACCAGAGACGCAGGTTCCAATTCTCCGACCCACAGTTTATGCTTCCGGTTCAATATTGCAACATCGCTAAATGTGTTACATGCAAACACAAGCTGCCGTTTTGCCACTTCTTCGGCGATTTGTTTTGATCTCACGTCCGATCTTTCACCAAACAAAATCTCTAGTCCCACAATAAGGCGCCAAGTCTCCAATCGTAGCGGGTCTGCTACAATTTCACTCTCAAGAAGACTAGACACTGCTTTCATATTTCTCAATCGTAGCTCCAAAGCTACCAATGCTTGCAATATCAAAGAATGCCGTGTCTTTGCTCCAGCGAGACATTTTTTCAGGCTTGCTCGTGCAGCCAGGAGTTCCCATCGATGAGAAGCGATACCTGTTTTGACAAGAACGAACATCATCAGCAATTGGTCAGTAACAAAGATGCGTAATCGTCCATAACACTATACTCGTACTCATAAAGGCGAGCGAAAAATCCGGCGAAAGCGCGAGTGAAGTCGTGAACGATGCATAGAAAGCAGTCTTTTCTCTCTCCACTACCGCGTTCAAGCAAAGCGAAAAAAGTTGCAGGTTTACATCAAATGAAATCAAGTGGCGTCGTTCTGGATACAGACAAGCAAGCACGGCATCATCCACAGCATTATTAGTGATGCCATGCCGAACGCACTGTGAAACTTGGCGTGCCGATTCGGCCTCCACGCTCATGTCACCCATATACTTGCGAAGTAAGCGAGTCAGCCCCGCTTGATGTTCCCGCCATGACAGGCTTTCTGATTCTTTTCGTCGCAGTAGATACAACTGAAATACAAAGCGTTGAATCCATGCAAGCTGTCTTGCTTCATACGAGAAAGTGCCAAAATTCGAAGAGCCTAGCACTGTTTGAATGCCGTTAATAGCAGCAGATGGTCCCAGTAAGATGCCCATCAATTGACATATATCAAGTGCTACGCAAATATCTGCAAGCTGTTTCGGTCGCTGGTCAATCGATCGGTCTTCGTTTGATCGCTTTAGCTTACCAAACTTATCAATCCACGCAGCCAGTAAATCGGCCAGCAACGTTTCCTGAGCGCGCGACTTCAACACATTACTGGCGCCGTACGTTATGTCGTAAACAGATTTCTTGACCTTATCAACATCAAACCCCAGACGACTCGCTAAGCGCTCCATCACCGTCACAAAAGTATCGTTTGAAGTATCGATGAGATCTGGAAACAGGTGACAAGCGGACAAATAATGATGTAAAGCTTCTGGAAACGTAGATATCGAGCTTTGACTCATCATAGTGAGCATGAGTTGGCAGGCCTGTTCTCTGCCAACCTGTGTTGTCCCCATTAGCTTGGCAGCGACCAGAGAGGCGCCAGAAAATTGTCGAATGGCATCGAGCTTCTGCTTGAAAAACGTTTGCAGGGTCTTCTTGTTCTCGTCAAGATGGTCCTGGTGTGCTAATGTAAGCATCCAGTTGGTCAGTATAGCACCGCCAGCATCGTGATTGTCGTTGCACTCCTTTTCAAACGTTTGGTACGCGAGATCGTAGATGGCCAAAACTCGATCATAAACGCTTTCATCCATACGAAATCGATCACGCTGAAATGTTCCAAGATTATAAATCATCCCCTTGACTGGGATGTTTTCGTCGCTGCTAGCAACTACCCAGTGCTCGATCAATTCGGGAAACTCTTTGAAAAGGAGAACATGGGCGAATGCCAGACAAAACACGATCAGTTCTTCGCTGCGTAATTGACTGCGAATCATACTGCAACAATCAATGTCCGAGGACGTGGAGCCGAACCCCAGCAACGCTGACAGGATTTCAGTCACTCGATGTGTTGCCCCAGCATTCCACAACTTCAGACAAAGATGAAAGCATATTGCCGCCAGCAGAATTGACAGTTGCTTTGAGGGAGTTGGTTTCACAACATATTGTCCATCTTCAGTGGACACGTTTCCTTGAGCAAGGTGAGCCAACAGTCGCCAATAAATTTCTTCGGCCATGCCCACGGAATCGAAGTCGTATGTCGAAAGGTAACGAAGCCACAACGCCTGAGAATTCGGCAGAAACTGAACGGCTTGCTCGGCCATGTCAAGTTGAGTTTGCTTGTTGGTAACCTGATTGCATAGACACAGGTACAGTAGCCAAAGAGCTTCACAATAGGCATTGGCTTCGACTTCCAAAGCGCGTGAAAGCGTATGCAGGCATCGTTTCAAATTTGCCTCCTCAACGTCAATGACGTGCGAGGCATCGCCGCGGAGCTTTGTGTCAAGCTCTTTGCTTAGAAAAACAAGCTGTCGATGTAGGCGCTCCTCGTCCGACAACTGCACAACTTCATCGCTACAAAAATACAAACGTGGAGGTCACAACAATGAACCGTTCAAAATTTCGTGAACGCTAAACTTACCTCGCGCCTTCATCCAGTTCGAGCTGATTTATAGCAAGAAGGAGCCAGGCATTCGGACTGTTTGGATTTTTTTCCACGTTTTCTACAAGCGCGTCACCGTTCACCTTTCCTAAGTCACCCATCGTAAAATAACGAGCATCGACAATCTCAAGCGGTCTCTCGCCCGTTTCAAGAGCTAGAAAATCGTCATCATACTCGTCCGAACCTTCGCCACTATGTATTTCATGGCTCTTGGCTGGCCCCATTGCATCGGTTTCGTCAGACATTTTCACATCCAGTGCGTCAGAAGTCCCACTGCTGCTTTTTTCGATGGCCTACGCACCGCAAAAACACGATTACAAGGTCAGCATTGGGGATTACCAAACTTACGGCACACGCAACCATCACTGTTTCTTTCAGTTAACCGGCACGTACAACAGCAAGTGTCTGGGTACTAATCAAAGGCCACTTGTTCATAATCTTCCCACGAAATTTAGCAAATGACAGCAGCAATCGATTCGGCTCAGCTCGTTTCACATCCCTTGTATCGTCGCCATCAGAAATGTAATGTTTGACACCACCCGTCCTCCTTCTGAGCGAGTTGTAGTCCTTCTGGTGATAGTTGGAGCAATTCTCGTCGTTACAAGCTCCATTTAGTTCGTAGTGACACAAAATTCTACGCATTCAGGAGCGCATCAGAATTTTAATTGCAACGATGTACAGGACATAGCAATGCACGTACTTCATAGGATCAACTTTATCGTCAAGTGTAGACGCGTTTGCCGTTCTGGTCCCCCTAAGTTGCCTCACGATCGATTCGTTTTCCACGGAAAATGGCCGGCCGTACTTCGAGAAGACACCCCCAGCTACAGTAGACTCATCGAGGCCTCCTGAATGTGAAGATAAGCTGCTATAACGGCCGGTAGTCTCAGCTTTCCCGCACAGCCATTTCTCCATGTCATCGAACATATCTGCCACCCGTCCATTCGGTTGGTTCACCACGCTAAAACGTCTGTCAGTCAGCGGGTCGATATAGTTGACACCGATGGTAGCACAGAGAAAATCTGAAAGCGCAGAAGCTGAAGCACCGCCAGTCAGCCAGCCTTCCATAAAGTTTGCTTGTCGACGTCTCCTGACGAGTGCTGAGCTTCTATTAGGCTCTCGGATATCCAACAGATGCAGCGCACTACAAGCAGCATCCACAACTTCCTTTTCAACTCTGATCATAGACTGAATGCGAACTACAGCACAGCGCAGCATCAGACCATGTCGTGCTTTACCAAACACAAATGCAAGTCGTACCAGCATCAGATGAGATGAACGTCGGGATCTCTAAGTACTGACGCCCGGGTTGCCAGTGCACAGACTTTCTCGCAGCTGATGTTGAACATGTGCGTCGGGGCTCACCAAAGCAAGCCAAACAGCGTTCTAGTACCAGCAAGTCAATGCCCTCGTCCAAAACCTTCCCCGTGTAAACTGCAAACGCCTGCTTTAGCTTTTCGCTGGAGATCATCTTCACAAACACATATTTCCACATTAGCTCGTTAGTCATCATTTTATTGAGTCCGAGCAAAGCTAGCGCCAATTTCATACTTACCATTCCCGTCTGCACGAGATGACGCGTTGCGATGCGAAAGCACGTGGCCTCTGCCAATTTTCGTGTTCCTACATCAAAGTCAGGTGCACTAGCGACTACCAGACACCGATTCCACATCACATACCAGACACCGATTCCACATCACACTTTCAGTTCTCATCGACTGTTGAGAGTACGTGCAAATTATATAGCGCCTCACAAGAGTGCATTCCAGCGAGAGCAGGAGCAGCAGAAGTAGCAGAAGAGGTAGTTGTGGCAACAACGGGAGCAGCAGTAGGAGGGGCAGCAGATGGGGTAGCAGCGGCAACAGCAGCAGCAGTTTGTACTAGATCATCTCTTTTCACATGAGATCGCTTGTTCAATCCGTCATTGGTTTCCTTCTCTTCTCTCTTGCGTTTGACTTGCAGCTGCTTCAACTTCCTTGCCAGCACACTTGCCACCATCTGCTGCTTCTGTAGTTTGGTAATAAATTACCACCGCAAAATTACGTTAGAGCAACACGGTAATACCTATTTAACAACAAAATAACATCAACAAATTCCAATTGAAACCTCGTGGGCCGCCCCTGCTCGTGTCTGTAGCTCTTTCAACTCGTTCTTTCGCACCAGAGCTGCAGTATCAATCATTTCCACATCTTCTCCGTCTTTTGTAACCCTTTCCGCCTCTTTGTTCACTCTCTGAGCATCAATTGCAGAAAAGTTTGCAAGCTTCTGAGCTTGAAGCTCGAGCAATTTCAGGAGATTCTTCTTGCGCACTGCGATATCGTCACGTCTAGTAATCCACCTTCGTATCTCCTCTTTTACTTCAAGGAGACGCTTGAGCACTGCAAGATCCGCTTTGGAATCTACAGTGCCCTCCGCTGTCGACACGGCAATGCTCACGTCGTCCCTGGGTTTGGGCTGCATATTTACACTTTGAGGCGAGGATGACGGCGATAGATGTGGTCCACATACGTCGGCACACAAACACCAAATCAGCCACAAACGAATGAGATAATGTTATTGGTTGAAAGAAGAATTTTTTACAGAAATCAAGGTAGGATATTGTTAAACTGCAATTGATTGCGAGTCCGAAGGGTGAAGCTGTCAGTGAGTGTACGCAAGGTAGAATGCCGAACTTTTAATTCGTACTTATCAGTGTGTCTGTGTGTGCATGTAAATAACGCGGTAGGTGTACCTGACTCGTACTAAATACGACCTAGCCTATCCCTCCTCATAGGTATGTAGGCATATCTGAAGTCACTCTTTGACAAGGTCAATATTGTGATGCACGCATGGGATTGGCTTAAAATCGATCAAAGGGTTATATGATCGCATAAGCAAACGCTGGACGCTCATAAAAAAGGCTGATCGCGTTGCCAAGTATGCTGTACTGAGTTCACACAGATGTTAGCACCATCATACTCCTTCTTCAGTGACTGCTGCTGTATTTTGTTTTGCAATATGCTTGATCCAGTTTTTAACTTAATTACTTCTATCAAAGGGCGATCTCAAGAACTTGATTGTATCGCGGCACCAGAGTAACACACTGGACAACTAGTGTGGAGCTACTCTCACCGACAACAGCAGGAGTGGTGCCTCGCTATCTCTCTTAAGTATGCAGACGAATGGAAAGCAACTAGGACCTCTGACTAGTTGCTGGTGAAAGGAAAACTGTATGAAAATATGATTAGGTCCTGATTATTAACCTATGCTCTAGTCCTAACATAAACAAAGTTTTCTACAAAAGTGTCTGGTAAAGTCTTGCTCGCCACTCATTGCGCGCGTAGGTCGGTGATATGACCGCTATAGCTGGCTGATATGATGACCCATATCAGCCAATCAGTGAGTGTTTTTGGACATTACACCCTGTAATACATTCATGAGCATAACCAATCTCAATGATAATGTTCTAATTAAAAATCATCAAATGTTATTCACAGGAAAAAGGCTCGCTCCGTTACATCATCCCCCTTAAACGATTGTCGCTCAGTCACTGCCATTTCGATGTGGTCACCGTATTTCACATCAGCGAAAGAGAGCACATGTTTTGGTCGGATTCATTCATTTCTGAATCTCCATCGCATGGTGAGCAAACCCATGCGATGCGCGTGCTAACGCGGCTGCTCTTAACGATACCCAGCCTCTCGCGGCAGACGATGCTTCATCTGCTGCCGCTGCAACTCTTTCTGCAGCAACAGTTGCTGCAGAGGCACGTGGTGTGTCACCACATGGTATTTATGATGGATCCCCAGTGGAGCTCATGTATTTTGGGGAGTCGGAAGGTGGGTCCAACTCGAAGAAGACACCTAGGTCGCCCGAGTCTGTAGGGACGGTCCGAATACGAGACTACGAATAGGACTCGAGTGAAAAGTTAGACTCATGGTCACCAAAGAGTATTTTCGGCTTGTAGCATGAGCACGTTGACTCATCCTTCGCGTCTGATACTGCGCATCCGCCATCTAGAGAATGCGTTGATGTTTGTACTGTCGTAATGACGAAGCACCAAGACTTCCGTTGGTACCACGCAGAAGTTTTTGGTTATTACCCCAGCTGAATTATTATCAATTACTTTAGCTCTTGTTAGATCTAGGGCTGGTACGGGTTGGACAATTTATGCACCACTATCAAGCGTTCAAGCACAATCGGGATGCTAAAAAAATAAAAAAAGGAAAATAAACCACGTTGTTTATTTCAAAATTTATAAAAAAACAAAAAGAGATATTTCCAAAAAAATTACTTTATAAAAAACCCATTCGATGGAAACAACGACAAAAACGGTTTTATTTTCATCAAAATTCTTCACTTACTAGAATGAAAAAGCTCTAGACGGCAATATGCTGCGTCTATACCCTAAACACATGCCTTGATATTGCCAGAAAAGCGTTTGAATGACCTGTCTGGGGATGAAGTCTTCATGATCAAATTCCATAGTTAGATGCAGGGTTGTTGAACGGCCTCAGCATCATGCGCTGGTAACTTGTACGCCTAAAAGGGGTTTATCTCGATTCTATTCTCAAGCATCGTTTGTACAGTGACAACACTAAGCAAGACCGTTGATGAAGGTGTGAAACGCCTTTATGCTTAATGTGCAGCATATTAGGCGCGAAGCTTGGCTTCATAAAGTTAACACAGCTCGTTTTAGGCACAAGAAACAAACCTCGACTGGTTCAACAGCCAGGTTACACTCTTTGTCTCGTGAGGCGGAAATTCCTTGCCTCACGTGGGGCGACCCATGTCCGTGTTTTTCGATAACACGCAACGCATCCATAGGAATGTTAATCGACTTTTTTCGCTGTGAGGTAGGGCGCAAATCTCTTCTTAGATGCGCGATACGATTGCTATCCTACAACCTCTCTACCAGCGTCATAGGAGCGTGTTGTCTGATGGCCATTCAACGCCATCAAATGTGTCTCATCCTACTCATGGACAAGACCCTCAACATTTATCATTAGCTGGGCGCGAGGAACCCAGCTGTCGTGCGACGGTGGGTTTCCACGCTAGCGACAGGACGACCCGTTTGCTGTCCTTATAGACACGTTAGTGTCTATAAGGAGCTCCACGTGAAAGCGTTGGCCACCTTCCTGTTCCATTTATGGCTGTAGTGGAGGCGGTAACATCAAGTAGCAATAGTTTGTTCGAGTTGCAGGAATAGATTGGTCGTCTTCAGCAACTCTTACACAATTTGCGTGATCAGACTGAGCAGTAGAAACAGTAGATTCTCTCTTTAGAGGCGTAGGTGCAACGCACCCGTCATTTTTTGATCATACGGTTAATCGAAGATCGCGTTTCACCAATTTGAAAACGAGCGGAAGCTTTAAGTCTTTCCGGACGAAGTGGCAGACCTTCGTCGCCAGCATGCGGCACTACAGAGCCATATTAAGAACCTGGCTCAGGGGGAATATGAATCTCTTGGAGGTCCTTAAGCGTGGCGGTTGTGTTCTCCCGAAAAATAGACCTCGTGCTAATAACGTTAACCTTAAAATGCGTCCGCATCCTGTAAGGCACTCGTTCGTTTTTTCATTGCCTTTGCAATTTATCACACAAAAAGGGCCGAAGTACATGGGTAGTAGTTTATAGCTACCCACATTAATTACCACGTACTTAGATCAAGTAACCGTAGACAGTAAAACTAAGTCAACAACAATAAATAGAAGAACGTTTTCTCTTCCTTGTTTGTCATCGTTTCGTTTCTGCCGGTCCACCGCGTTAGCGATGTAGTCTTGAACGGAATGGACCACTTCTCCTCGTGCCATTAGAAAATCGTAGACTGACTCACTTCATTTTGTTGCAGTGCGCTTGGTGCACAATGCTAAGATCTGTCTCTGGTCTTCATCGAGGGTGTCATCATCCTCTGGCATATTCATTAGCGATAATAAATATATCAGCATCGTCGTCTTTGTCTGGATCAGAAATAGTGATGACACTATTGCTGATGTTTTCTTTCGAGGTCGATTTGAACAACGTCGGAAACGTGCGCGTCGTCGAGTACTTTGACACATGATGAGAAAGAGCCAGGACTTTTTTTCGAGAAAATTTACCCCTTTAAAATAGTATCACACTCAAAATGGGTGGGTAGGCGTAATCTATTCACGAAGAACGTTGTATATATTGTCGAAGCATGCACGGAGTTGCTGAAGTCAAACGCTACCATCGGCAAAACAACGCTTCAATCTGTAAAAGATTGGACCTATTCTGGAATGAACAATTCGAGGAAGCAATTGACGCGTTTGTTTGTACATTCTAAGACGGATGGTCAGAAGAAAAATAATCAGACGTGTTTCGAGGTTATTAAAACAAGATTGGCCAAAACGCTACCGTGAATCGAGGGAATATAGCAGAGATTAGTTCAAGGGCAGACCGTGAAGTCGGAATATCGTTTTAATATAGACACGGAAACATCCCCATGCTGTGATTGACTTCAAAACGGCAGCAAGATGTTTAATCTTCCTGAAGCTATCAACAAACACAAGTGTATGTTTTCTTGAATGCGTCTTAGGGACAAAGAGACATGTTCCATTAAAAAGACTGCCAGCTCTCTGACAAGATTGGCATTGGATGCAATGGCGTACAAAATGCAGGAATAGGCTTCACCCGTTGGCACACCTCGCAAGCACAAATGTGCTTTCGCACAAACTGATTTTGGAGGGGCCAGAAAAAGTCGGGACTTTCCGTGAAATAAGCCATCTCACGCCCGCGATGAACACTGTATGGTGCTTTATGACACTCATCCAATATGCGCAGGCAATTATTTTTGCAAAGGGGGGCGACGACACGAGATGTGTTGCCTGCAGCGGCAGTATTATACAGCAACCCTTTGCGTGTTGTACATCAATCCGAGGAAGATCGATAGGTCGGTTAATCTTTGAGAGATCTGCGAGATGCGGTCACTAGATGATGTATTAGTCCCAGTAGAGCATTATCTTCTACGTAGGTCTTTTTGGTGTCGTCAAGCAGTTTTGAGGACGGACACTAGTGACTAGTGTTTCGCAGTGGTGTTAACCTCACCGTTGTACTGCGCAGTCGACTTAAAGTCGGGTTGGCGCGACAGTGCGTACGCGACGACATTAAGTCTTCCAGGGTTGTACTCGACGGAAAAGTTGTACTCCTCAAGAAAGGACAGGCACTTTGCTATTCTTTTCGAAAGGTGTAAACTATTAACGGCCGTACGTAATGAGGAATGGTCCGTTTAGACTAGAAATAGTTTATACATAATAAGATAGACGCAAAACTTCGCCATTGAACACTTCACGACAAGGAGTTTCCTTGTCATACGCTATTTGATTAATATCAGCTGCTTGCATCCAAAATCAATTGATAACAGACGGAGCGCTCTGCGCCGTATACGTCTTAGTGCATTAATGCACAGTCGATTGCGAATTCGCTGGCGTCACAGGCCACATGGAATGGTCTGTCTTGGTCTGTAA